GGTTTCAACCTATAAAGGCTGACATTGCTTAGGGCCACAATACCTCACAGAGTGCCTCTTGCAACTGCAGTCTACCTGGACGCTGCAATCAACATGCGGGGCCTTCTTCTGAAGGAGACTCAGAAGGCCACCACAGGGCATGGACTTTCTCTGTGGTGGCCCCCCAACAATGGAATGATTTCCCCATTGATTCTGACCTGGCACTAACATTGCCATCCTTTTAGCACCTAGTTAAGATAGCCCTTTATACTGAGGCATTTAGAGACTTACATGGATATTCAAGGGTTTGAGTGGTCTACCCCTCCCAGTTGTTTTACAGGCCTACTCTGCATTATATGTTGTTTCTGTTGTTTTTCATTTATTTAATACATTTTTCATTTATTTTAATTTTTTGTATTTTGGAAAACTTTTTTGGTATTTTATTGCATCATTACATTACTTGCATCGGGACACAAAGCTCCCTGCGAAGTGGTAAACTTCTGAGGGAGCTTGGGCTATTGGTAGTACAAACGTTGTTATTGGTTTTGCTATTGTTGTTGTTATTGTTGAAGAGGAAGAAGAAGAGGAAGAGGAATTACTGAGCCGTTGCATGATGAGGTCAACATTTGCCTTTTGGATTCCAAATTTCACATTTCAGATTGGAATGGCAAATAATTCTTTTCACTTCTGCCAGGGGCATGTCAGAATCCAGACATGGAGTGGGGTCCATAAAGCACCCTATGGTGTCCCTGTCCATGTAAAGCCCATGAAACCAATGAATCACCCAAGTGGGAGTGCTTGATGTTATGAAAATCCCTGGTGGACTTGTTCAAGAGCAGCCTGCCTGCTTGGCACAGCGCTGTTCCAGAGGTCAGCGAGGGTTCATGCAATGCAATCCTAGGGAGGCCTGCTCAGAAATAAGCCCCATGGAGCCTAGTCACTCTTATTTGCTGCTGAATGACCGTAGGGTTGTGTGAGAGTGTGGCCTCTTGCTCTTTCATTTAGCAGCCTGTGTCAGCAGAGGGACTTTCATACAGTTTTGATGCTGTTATTTCTTGTGCCATTAGTACCTGGCATTCCCCCTCCCCTGCAAAACCAGAACAGCAGCAAAAACATGATACCAGAATAAAAGAAAACCCCCGGAAAAAGCCAGGGTTTTCATAGGCACATGGTTGCAACCACTAAATAGTATACAAGAACATAAAAATGGAGGCATGAGCAGGTTAGCCACAAACTATGTGCTGAGGGAGGCCAAATAACGTTTTTCTCACACATTCAAGCACATAAAACTTCTTATCTGATAACATGTGTGTAACATGGACATGTGTGAATAAGATACATATGCTGGTATCAATGGGGTCTGCTTGAAAGAATTTGTACATTACCCTACATCACAATTTGTGAACAGTGAATGACTGTGAGGAAAGGGATAGACCCCTTTAGTGATGTTAGTAATTGAGATTTTATATCATTGAGGAGCAATCCTGGGGCATCTGGACATCACATGAGAGGCCATAGGACTGATTCTTCGTATTCCAGCTCTTAGGTCCTGTGTGCTTGGACCTTGGACTCAGAAGTCTGAACCAGCTGAAGCCTCCTTGCAGCTGGTATGCAAAGAACCTGGCCTTGGCTGGGGAAAAGGGTTGGGCAGGGGGTGAAATGGAGGATGCTGGGGTCACAGAGTCACACAGTTTTCCACTGACATTCCTGGTTACTCCCCTTCCTCCCACCCACATTAAATCTAGATGGCCCAAAAAGGCTGTCTGGAGAAAGTACCCAGAATGAGGCATGACAGTGGTGGAGATCACCTACTGCTCTTTGCATTGGCATTGGATATATATAAACCTCAAAGCTCAAAGGCCTTGTTCAAGTCATATTTGTAACCAGAAGAGTTTTTAAAAAGCTTATTTCTCTGTTTATTTATTTTCCAGGAACAAGTGCCAACTTAAAGAGAACTGACTCACTTGAAGGAACAAGTACTAAATCATCTGCAGAGAGAGGAAACGATCACTCAGTGGCACATCAATGGTTTCTGTCTGGAGAGATGCCCCTTGCAGAAGTGTGCCAGGCCAGCTCTAGGCCTAACTAGCCAGAACCTTACTGCTTGCAGAAATGTGCTCGATTAAGGATTGCTTTGGTGCAGGGCTAACAAATCGCACCCACAGATTGATTGGTAAGCTGCAGGTAACTTCAGAGAATCCCATTCAAAATAAATGCAGAGAACTGGAAAGAAAAGGCAAACAGAAGCTGAACGATTGCATTCATGGTGTTGAAGAACCAGCTCACAGTTCAGCTACAAAAGTCACATTGACTCATATTCCAGGTATTCCTAACCACACTTTTATGGGACTTACCACATTCCAGCTTTTCATTCCAATTAGTCAAGTGCCAGCAACTGGTACAGGCTGGATATAAGCCTCCCACAACATGGTGCCTTCCAGAAGTTTGAATTTTAACTCCTGCTAGCCTCAGCCAGGACCACCCATGATTAGGAATTCTGGGAAATGTAGTCCAAAACATATAGAATCTCCCAGATTGGATGCGGTCATGCCCCACACATCCCTGAGGTCTCTAGGAGTAACCTCAACCTTACCTAAAGTGTCTCAAGATGCCATCGCAGCTAGGTCACATGCTATCTTCCAACACGTTAGGGATACCTGTGATTTCCCCCACATTCACTGTTCAGTTCAGTTCTTCTCACAAAAAAGCTTGAACATAAAATGAGAGGATGCAAGATGGTAAGCACTTCTCTTTTTCTTTTTTTCTTGGATTGGGAATGGGTGATTTTATTTTCTTGTTGACTCAACTCTTACTGACTGTTGATGGGCAAAACTGCAACAGCTCCCCACATGAATCAGGTTTTCTCCTCTCACACAAAAGCTATCCAGCTGTTCTCCTCATCTCAGCAGCAATTCACCTGTGCCTGAGATTAGCCATATCAGCTATTAGCAATGAGAAAGTTATGTAGCTGGGCTGCCTCGTATAGCATCGATGACCGGGATGGAATGGCTACGCTGGTGGGAAAGTGTGGGAATTGCAATCCAGCCGGAGGGTGCCAGGCTGAGGAAGGCAGAGTTACAGTCCTCCTCATTTCACACAGGCATATGTACCATGATGAATCATGACAGTATTGTGAATCTTGGATTTGTTAAACAGACTACAATCTGACATGCGCAGGAAGGAGGACAACAGCTCAGTATACCTCTGGCAAAGCAGTACAATGATTTAAAGACAAAGGATAGTCACAATCAATGGATAAGGTTCAGAAAACTGTTTCATTACTCACCTACACTCACAGGTTGTTAGTACACATCCATGCAGACACATTAAAACAGCCATTTCATGCAGCCAAGGAAGTCCACTGAATTGCTTTCAAAAGCAAACTATATAAATATTTATATATTTAAAAAACAGCTGCTGCCTTGGAGAACCTACAACAGTCTGACTTGGATATGGAGCATGCACAGAAAACATAGTACCAATCTACTTCCAGATGGACTGTAGCAAGCAGTGAACAAGCATTTAGAAAAGAGATGAGACGCTCCCTGACCAAGCTTTTGTGCCCTCTGAAAAGGACCAGCTGTCTGGGTCTAGTATTAACACCTGGATATTTTTAGATAGCTTTGGTTGCTCTTTTGGTTTTAGAGTTTGTTTACTTGTAAGGGGAAGCTTTTAGCTGAGTCTCACAGGCTCCCTAATATGTCACTCTCCAGATGTTTGGATTGTAACTACCATCAGCCAGCATGACCAATGGTCAGAGACAATGGGAACTATAGTCCAGAAACATCAGAAGGGTGCTATGTTGGGGAAGGCTTGTTTAATATACGTCAAGCAAGCCATGTACTGTTTGTTTTTCTCCTCTAGGAAAAGTGTTTCCATAGCCCTTTCCTGGCCATCTCTGCATGTGAACAGATCACACCAGAACTGTCCTTGAGCTTTAACTTTGGATGTTAAATGAAAGTGCTATATTTGAGCTCTCCACTTTCACCAGCTGGAAGTGAATTGGCCACTTAAGGCTGATGCGAACAGGAAGACTTCCTTCTGCACAGAGAAGACTTCCATCTAGGAATCAGCATGCAACTCCCAGAGAGGTGGTCACATGGAACCAATCACGCAGGTGTGTCTTTTGCCAAGACGGTACATGCTCTTGACATGCCATTGCAAGCTGAGACCAAATGCACACATGCAGTAGTCATCCCCTGATGATATGGAACACAAACACACAACTTGCATTCTAGCGCAACACCTACATGGAGCGATTGGTTGCATGCAGATGTTTCTCGTGCTTAAAGCAGTTTCAAGCACAGGGTGGCACGATAGAAGCTGCTTTCTCAAGCTCACCTTCAGGGCTAGTGTTGAGCTAGAGCTTTACTTGCAGGTTAACGCTCTGCTTGAATGCTCTGCCATGGACACAAAAGGTGCAGGGGAGCCCCTTGCTGGGGTTCTAGATGCCAGTCCCAAGGCCCCAACGGGATCTTGCTTGGCCCAGGATCACATCTCCTAGATTGCTGGGGTCTCCCAGCCAGCAAGCAGCTTACTGGACCTTGATCTTTGTGGCAGCCCTGCTTTGTGGCTTCTCACATACTTGGGGTTGGATCCAGCATTAGAAATATTTAGAACAGACCCACTGAAATACATGGGTGACTTAAGCACCATGGATTTCAGTGGGTCTAGTCCAAGAATGACTAAATCCAGATTCAACGAGATCAGTCCCCAGCTCTTCTTCCCACCTACCTTTTCCCAGGCAGACCAATGACTCTTCATCTGCTCAGTAATTCAGAGAACTAACCACAGCTTCCCTTTCCCATCACAATGTTTGGCACATCCCTTTGCTGTACATGCCTCTCTCTCCTTGGTACCACCACTAAGCTTCTCCTAAGCCAAGTGGATGCCCTAAGCACCTTAACATTCTTCTGTTTAATGCTGTTCAACCTTCATTTACCGCAACCCGTGACAAACTTTAACCCCCTGTTTCCAGAGATCTAGGAATAGGCTAAAAAACAAACACAGAGAAGCACAAGGGTTTAAAAAGAAGCTCTTTTAATTTTAAAAATCTTTCTTTAAAAATACGTATGACAAGTTTACAGCATAAAAATAATATCTCACTGGTATAAATGTGGCTTAATTAGAGTTTTAAGATACATTTGTAAACCTAGAATAATGTTGCATCTTTGGTACCTTAGTTCAAACACTTTTCTGCATTTCACCCCACCATGATGGCTTTCAAAAGGACTATAAGGGAAGACATGGGTTTTGTTTTTCACCATTCAGAGAGCGCTGTCAGTTGCTATAGGAGAACATTCTTGTGGCTAAAGCAAAGATCTAGAGCTTGGCAGACCTGGGTTCAAGTTCTTTCTGCAATAAAGGAGGATTCAATGGGCTTGACCAAGACACTTAAAAAAGCAAAACAAACCCAGGCTGGGAGGCTAGATGCCTCTTACACCAGAATCATAGGGTGGAGGAATCTGCAGGACAGAAAGTACCATGGGAGGTCATGCTTAACACCATCCCTGCCCGTCAATCCTCCCAGCAACCCTCAGTTTTTACACAGCTATGAAAGTGAGCCTGGTCAATTTTGAAGGGGCAGGTGCAACAGCAGATTGTCCCATAGAAATATCTATCCCCTCACACACACACACATATATCAAAACATTATACTTACCCGAAGGTAAGTCCCATTAATTTCAATGGCTCTTCTACGTAGACTGCTCAGCATTGCAATTCAAAACAAGACAAAAAGCATCTTGCCCACTCCTGAAATGCTGCTAAGCTGCCCCCTTTCATGCAGATGAAAGGTAAGTAGGGGAGAGTCAGTGTCTGGGCTGCACTCCATCTCCTCCAAAAATGGGCAAGCTGGGGCACCACCACAAGCCCTGCAGCAGAGTGCATATTCCACTCACGTGCACACACATCTCTGCATCAGCAGCACACAGGCATGGAGAAGCTGAGCTGCTGGGGGCAAGGTGAGGCAAGCGTGCATGAGCGACACAGAAACCTGCTCCAGTATGCAGATACTTTGCAGGAGATGGGCTTTATTGTGGAACTCCATCAGTCCATTCCAACTCGAGTCCCCAGTTTGTTCAGCAGAGGGGCTGCTGAGCATTTGGGGAAGGGATCTGGGATCAGCACTTTTCCTTCCCCTCCACCATGATGGTTCTGGAAAGTCAAGGCATGTCAACCACTGCAAGACCACTGACCCTTCTTTAGGTTGCCCCTTGCTGTACTAGAACATACATAAGAAGATCCATGCAGGGTTTGATCAATCCAGTTCAGCACTCTGTTCACACAGTGGGAAACCATCTGGCCCCTTCCTAGAGTATTCAGGCCATGCAGGCTCCTTCATGCAAAGGAGCACCAAGTTTTTCACACCATAACCAGCTGGTGTTTCTGGTGGAGGCAACCAAAGTACTAGAGTAATCACTGCAGGAAGAAAGCCTAGTCTTGGTGCACTTTCCACACACAAGTTAGGGGCTTCTCTACATGAGACATTTAACCCAGCATTTACTGAGGTGACTTCTTTCATTTTCTTTCCAGGAGGAAGAACGGCCTTTTACACAAGGGATCACAAATGCACAATACATATCTTGTGTAGAGAAACCCCTTGAACAATTGCCAGGAACAAGCCATTACAGAAATGATGGCACAGCTATATTGCCAGTATTTTCCCAACTTGTACCAAGTGCCGTGGAGTCCATTTGCCAGCTCCGGGAAGCCACTCTCAAAAGTCAGTTGCTCTTTGAATGGAAATTCAACAGCCACCACATCTCATTTAGGATCACCAGCTCTCTGGGACATCTTAGAAGTCAGGCATCCCTTTAACATTCCCTGGAAACCACTTCAAGGTCAGGAAAATTTTCCTGTAGATGTACATGGTTTCACTACTGAATAGGATTTAATTCATTTTTGATCAAACACCACATGAGTGAGAAAAGATATCAGGAATGGTGCTGCTTATTTTGGTTGCATTTATATTTTGGATCCATGCAAAGCCCACAGAAGTGGCAAAAAGGTGAATGATTCTCTGTAAACTATGTGAGCCAAGGAAGGACCTCCAATTGCAGATACATGATTGTAATACTCTTCTGATGCAAGGCAACCAGCTTGATTCTCCAATCCCTTCTTCTGTTCGGGATCCATTTAAATACTAGCTTGGAGTTCACTGGTTTCTAAACTGCAGAGTGCTCTTGCATGGCCTGGCCCTTTCAGGGAGCTGGTGATGCTCGGTGGGGAGGGAGGGGGGCTTTAAATGCCAGAACTGGCTGACTGCCATAAAACACTTCATTGCACTTCAATTTCCTGCCCTTCGAAGAACCTGGGGGCCCTTGGAAGAGTGGACAAGGCTGCTCATGTATTGCAAACAAAGTCCATGGTGCTCTGGATCACACAGCAACAACACGAAAATACAACTCTGCACTGCTCTACTTCCCTCAATTAATAAAAACAACACAGTCAAACAGAAAAGGAAAGTCAAGACTAAAACGTATACACATCAATCTTATAAGCATTTCAAAGGATAACACAGTAATTAATGTGGCAATATTCCTCTGGTATATTCTGGCTACATAGCAGTAGTGGCTGGCTGGAGAAGATGCATATATTTGAGCTGATAACATTGCTACAGCTGTAAATTAATATGCTATAGAAAAGAAAACAATACTCAAGAGATGAGACCAATCCTGCAAAAATGGGACATTCCAAAGTTTAACATGTTTCAGTCAAGATACAGGGAATGGATTTTGACTCACCTCTAGCCAGTATTTTTTTTAATGTAAAATAAAACCTGGCAAGCCAAAATGACAGTGACATGCGTAGAAATAAGAAGTGATGGTCCCCTTTAGGAGAAAGCTCATAGGCCAGATTGTGGCCACAGACAGAGTCTTAATCATCTCCACCTCTCCCACATTCTACCACTGTTGCCAATGTCAGGGCCCTCGCCACATTGTTCAGGTTTCTTCCATTTCTATGAACATTTATGAGCTAGAAGCCATAGGTCCTATGTCAGTGGCAGCCAGGGCTCAGGATGGACAGATTTGCTAAACCCAATTCATCTGTGTTTCGTGGGTTATCAGATGTTTTTTATTGCATTGTCTGCTCATTGACGGAACTGGATTGTTTTTTTTCTTGCTGTTGTGCTAGAATGGTGCTCCTGTTTGTAAATGTGGCACCTACCAAGCCAGGATGAACATCAGCATTTGAAAAGCCACAGTGTCCTAGCTTTTTTGGGTGAATGATTAGAACATCTGGTGACTGTTGCATTTCCTGTCTGGTTTCCAAATGACAGATCTGTCACCATTTAGGTTTTCACTGAGGGGGAGTCTACAGAAGCAGCTGAAAAAGGACCTTCTGTGGAGAATGTAAATGTTTAGGCTTGGACTACTTCAAATATTTGAAACTATGAGGCACTAGCTATGTGCTACTTTAGCCTTGGGAAGCATGAAGTGTGCTTTGGCGGTCACCTAGCTGCTCCACTGACCCCGGGTAGGAGTCTGGGGGGTTTTGCATCAAGATCAAGCCTTTGCTGCAGTGAGATGTGAAACTGAACTACTGTGCAGCTCAGTGGTGCAGAAGGCAAATCAGGTTGTTCGTCCTTGTCAAAGAAGCTCAAGAGCGGTGGAGCACATCTGCCCTGTTACAGATAAAGGGACTGAGCTATATGTAATTAAAAATCCTGGGTCGTGGTCAGGTCACACCAAAATTCAGCCACCAAATGTAGGAAGGTGTCTAATAGCAGGCCAGCCTTATATCGAATCTGTCAGCCCAGTATTGATGTCTCCACCTGGCAGAGGTTTTCCAGGATTTTGGCAGAGACCTTATCCAGGACCGGACTGCATCCGGGGGCTGAATCTGTGATCGGCGTGCTGACCAAGTACTCTGGGGCGCATTAGGACCTAACCCTAGTTTTTGGCCATAACCAAGCGTTAAGCCCTCAGAACAAAATGTTCTAATCGGCTTAGGAAAATGTACTGAGGGAGTTCAGATTACCTAGAGAAATTCTCCAGAAAGAAAGGGGAGCTAAAATTCTTCCATAACGTGGTCAATATTATGGGATTTATGCACATGGTATAGTAATGGTGCAAAATGGTCAAAAAGCATGATCTGGTGGTTTTATTCTGCCCTATCTCCCATACCCAAGGTGAAGGCCTGTAAGTAATTTCTATAGGCAACAATGCTGAGTAAGTGGCTGACTAGGAGGGGAAACTATGGCTCGTCACAGTGTCATTTCAAAGGCTGATTGCATGGGTGAAAAAAGATCAGCCCTGCACTGGCCGTGATTTATAGAAGGACCTCCTTTCAAACTATTATAGCACTATTCCTTTTAATATTATGTTCTTTTGGAAAGATTCCCGACCTTTATTGCTATTCTTAATCTAAACATATAAACAAACACTGACAATAGATCAAAATAGAGTAAATGCAATGTAGGAAGTGGGGAAGTGGTGCTGGTAGCACAGATGTCTAATTAAAAATGGGATGGGGACAGTAAAGGGATTGAAAAATCCACTGCACAAGGGGAAGGAGCAGTTTTCAGCAGGACTATGAGGGAAAGGAAGAGCCATCCCCCTCCTTATGGTCCAAATTCTGATTTATCTACCATTGTAACATCTATTTGTTAAAAAATAATAGCAACACAGGTACATGAAATGCAGTTGCACGTTTCACATAGCATTGGACTTTAATGCAGGGGTTGCCTGTGACATGCAAGGGCCAGACTGGGAAGGGGGGAGTGGCTGAACAAGCACCCCCTGCCTCTCTGTCCATATCACAGAGACACGTGCCAGTGGAATGCCCTGCTGTGGCCACAGTAGAGTCCTTAGCTGTCAGTCTCTGTTTGCTGCTCCGTATGCCCCTGGGCCATTAGGATGTCCCTTTGGGTCTTGTTTGGACAACTACAAATGCCCAATATCTCTGAGTACCTTTAATCTGTGCTACATGTAATACTGTACCATCATTCTTGTGTTGCTGGCCCCATAGCAAAAGCATTGGAAAGCCCAGGAAAGGAAACACAGAAACAGAGTCAGAAGGGGTCTCCCGGGCCATCTAATCGGACCCCTGGCTCCAGCTGACTCTACTCATGACACGCCTACCATGTGCATGTCCAGCCTATCCTTGAAGAGCAGAATCCAGCTCTAATGTCTAGGTTTGCTCTTCTGATGGCCACCATTCTAACGCTGCTCTGAATACCACCCTGAATGGAGCATCCATTCAGTGTTTGAAAACTGGCTGAGACTGTGGGCGGACCAATTCCCTGTTAGTGCATCTTGAAAGAGTCTGTACATGCATACATATGTCACCTTGTTTCATGCTTCATCCCTGCTTTCCGATCAGCTTTTAAAAGGGATGATTTGATAATGAACGGCCAAGAATAAACTTGTATGAATGGAATGGAAGCACAGGTAAAGGTGCTCTCCAAGGGAAACCTTGGGGAGGTCATCCTTTGCTTGATACAAGGAAGGCTTGCTTTTCCATGGAGACTACTTTTATAGATACTTTTCTCTCTGTCCTGCAACAAGGTAGTTCATGCCGCACACAGACTCACAATATTCTGGGTTAGCAGAGAGGACCATGGATGGAGAACCTGCATTAGGTGATGGAATGGAAATAGCCCCAATTAAGAAGTTTGGGGAGTCACACAAACAACCACAGGACACAGACTTCAGCTGGGTTGATCTCATCTGCAGTCTTACTGGTAGGTACTGGTAGGTACTCTTGGCCCCAGAAAAGTTTCTTCCATGTTACAGTTCCTGGGTTCTGCTTTGAGCTGAAGAGGAAGGAAGGACAAGCTGCAACTGCATTGTAGGGCTGAAGGGAAGGGATGTACCAGTTTTGCTTGGAAAACCCCAGCACCACCACACGTGCCTGCATGTCCCCCTTCCACAGACGCAGCTCTAGTAACCCTAGCAGTCTGACTTTAGCACTAGTGCTTCTTGTTCTTCTTCTTGTTGAGGAGCTAGCGGGCTGTCACAGGATATGGTAGATGAAGTGTTGGCTTCATTCAATGTAGAACTACAAGGTAGAAAAGGAAAGAGAGAAAGAATTAAGCCTCAGCTATAAACAGGAGTCAGTTCATGAAAGACAGAGCTGGAAGCCATATTTATTTATTTATTTTTATTTATTTATTAAAACATTTTTATGCCGCCCCATTCGCCGAAGCCTCATATATCATGAGAAGAGCTGACATTTTGCTTTCTGAAACCAGTTCTGCTTAAAAGCCAATAACTTGCTGAGAAGTCACATTCCAGGCTCCAGAATGATCCATCCATCCATCCATCCACCCATCCATCACACTAGCCAACATCTTTGAAGAGTCTTTCTGTGGATACATTCCTTGGGACAACAAAGCAGAGATTCCAAAAGCTGTGGGCATTCCACCAAAGTTCATTCTCCATTCTACTGTATATTCCAGGGTTGGCCAAACCAAAGTTCAGGGGCTGAATGTGGCTCTTTGAGTCTATTTTGCGGCTTGCTGCCACAGGCGCCCACAGGCACCTGCTTACCACTCCCCACCTGCTGCCACCTCCTGTGAGCACCTGCTCATTCCTCACTGCCCACCGCCACTGTCGATGGGCACCTGCTTGTGGCCCCCAAACATCTGACATTTACTGTATGTGGGTATTCTGTTGAGCAAGTCTGGCCACCCCTGGTATATTCCTTAGACTTTTCTGTTCTTCATTACTTCACATGCCTATGGAATGTGCAAAGCATATTTCCAGCCATCAGAGAGACTAGCATTTGTGTGAATGATTGCGTTATGGGAGAAAGAATGAAGGAAATGCTGACCTTGCCCGACTACTGGGTGCTTCTTGAAGGTTGTCACTGATACCTTCTGGTTTAGGGTCAGGCAAAGGAATGATATAATCATTGTCCAGTCCATTCTGCTCCACAGCTGTGTAGAGGACAGGGCTTGAACGAGCAGTGTCCTCAGCAGTGGAGTTGTTGAGTGCCGCATTCCTGGGCCTTGTGCGGACAACAGCAGGGTGGTCGCTTTTCAAGAACTCTTCATTGACTTGTTGATACCTCTGCTCTCATATAAGGCAGACAGGAGAAAAAGGGATTGTGAGTGTATAAAGGCATGAGTCTTACACGGGGACATGATCTCAGTGAGTTAATAAATATTATGATGCTGAACTGCTATTGATTCTATTGACCCTGAATGGTGCCAGAACCATTAATATATTAAAGTTTCAATCCTAAATAAAAGTATGTTTTAACTTGAAAACCACTGGGAACTTATTTGCAAGGAGCTGGAATATATACAGTTAGGCTTTAAGAAATCACAATTCATTGCATAATACAAACCGCATATAATAACCCAATTCAAGCTACAAAGCTATAAATCTATATTCATTTCCATTGGAATAACTGAAATCCGTGGGACTTTATTCTGAGTGACATGCCTAGGCTTGAGCTATAAGGCTATTTGGACCCAATGAAATCAGTTAGACTTACTTCTGAGTAGGCATGTGTAAGATTGTCCTGTCAGTCTCAAAACACAGCCCAGCATGAAGACTGTGTAAACAGATCATCTGTTTCACCTGTATTGGGACCGCTGCCACGCGACTACAGTTTGTTAGCCTTGGCATTGCTGGCAGCCAAATCAAGTGAAATGAACAGAGAAAAGGTTCTTTGTACTTAGCCTGTCTCAAAATTTTGAGGGGCCTTCTGAGGAAAAAATATGTAGATGTTTGTCTAATAAAGCAGGATTTAAACTGGGGCTACAGGGCAGTTCTTGGTTCCAGTCTGGTTCATTCAGTCTGTAGTCATAGCTTAAAAGCTCACCATTTTAACTTTCCTTCTTAATGTTTACTGTATTATTTAAGGATCATGGACAGACTAGTTATTTGGGGTTCCACCAAAATTTAATAGCACCCGTGTTTGTCTGTACAGGACTATTCTGTAACTTTCAAGTTTTATGTTTAAATGCAATTTTGTTTGTTTATGTTAGAAATTTTTACGCTGCCCTTCAGCCATAAAAATGAAAAAAGAGAATCGAAATGAAAAACATAACTGCAGCTAAACTTAATTAAAAAACCACAAAACCTGGAAGAATAAAACCATTGTTGCCTGAGAACAAAAAGACAACAATATGAGAGCTAGTTAAGCCTCTCTGGATATGGAATTTTATATGTAGGGGGCCACCACTAAGAAGGTCCTATGACTAGTTGTCACCTGCCTTTAGAGAACTGCCAAATATTACTCCAGCACACAGGGAAGCTAATATGGGAACAGGACAAGCATTTAGTTCACAGGGTTCTGCAGATGCATTGCACTTTGTTCCTGGTACCAAGCATAGCTGTTGGTCAGGAACAGTGGGAGATGCAGTTCAAAAAACAGGTTGGGAAGGCTGGCTTAGCAGTTTGTAGTTCTCTGGTTTGATGTAACCAGGCAGGAAAATAAGGCCCCATTTACAGGCTATGATTGGGGAAGGGGTTTTGCTGAAGAGGTAAACTGCTTGGTTAACATGGGAAAGGCTTATATTACAGTTTCTAACAGCATTCTTGTGGTGCAGTGCTAAGTACCACACCACAAACCTTCTTGAGCTCATCTGTTAAAGAAGAAAGCTCCAGTTAAGTCTGGCTGTAGTGAAGAAACCAAAAATCACACTCCAAAGCACTGTGATGAAGGATGTACCTGCTTTCTGCAAGTAATGACCCAGTAAACCAGACTCTCACCCCGCACATCCTTCCTGCCTGTTGCAAGCATCAATACTTATTGACCCTTTCTGGTTTTCATGAGGAGCATTCTGTCATACTAAACTTGCCCAGCCTGAAGCAGCCCAGCTGCAGTGGACTTCAATTCCCATCATTCCCTGGTTGTGGAAGGCTGCCATATACATTCCTTTCTTTCTTCCTTCCTTTCCCCCTCAGTCTACCCAACCATACCCTACCTTCTTATAACTGTCTTCCAGGAGGTTTCCCATGAGTACAACCAGCTGAGAGAAAGGAGGTCGGATTTCAAATTTCTCTTCCCAGCATTTTTGCATGATTTCATAGCTGGAAAGACATAAAAGAAAAAAATGGCACCATTGGGAAATGCTGCACTGGAAGAAAGGGTGGCCATTTTCCAGTGTGAAAAAGGCAAATACAAACTGCTAATACTCACATCTCATTCGATGCATGGGTAGGCTTGGACATCCGATATCCGCGCTTAATGGCATTATAGAATTGTTCGTTCATAGGCAGTTCAGGATATGGAGTCCCACCTAGGATAAGAAAAAGATCAAGGAAAAGGGGTGATGGGACAGCAACTTTATTCTTCGTGCGAATGACGCCAGGGCAACTGTCCCCCACATGCCCCATTTCACTTCTTTCTCATCTCCAGGGCTGCACCAGCAGGCAACTGCAAATCTCTACTGCTGGTGGACCCTCCCAGTCTGAAACAGAAAACTCGGGACTGGGGTGAAAACACCAAAGGGGGAAGGACCAAAGGGGGATTTTTCTTTGTGTAGACTAGTAACGTCAGCTGTTTGCTTTATGTAGGTTATGAACTGGTGTGGTGGGAGGGCAACTCACTTCATGCAAGATGCTGGAGGGCCATTCGCATTGCTTTCCTTTTGCATATAGGAAATTTGAAAAGCAGGATGTATCAAAGGAAGAAAGGACAGTGCTGCCCCACGTTACATACCCAGAGTGAATATTTCCCAAAGAAGGATCCCAAAAGACCACACATCGCTCAAGGTGGTGTAGAGGTTGTTGAAGATACTCTCGGGTGCCATCCATTTCAAAGGCAAGAAGGTCTGCAATGAAAGCACATGGCAGGAACACCTTTCAATAAATTGTCCGCCCTCTGGCAGCAACAGGCATGGCTTTTAATGGAAACTTGCTTGCAGCAAGAGAAGAGCTGCCAGGAACCCGAGGCCATTGCCAGGGAGGCAATCCCCTTTGATGAAGTTAAATGATACTCCTGGTCCTTTCATTTCTTCTCCCAGCCCAGCTCATTTGATATAAGGAATGGAAGTTATTAAATCCTGACCTGGAAGAAGGGTCTTTATAAAACTTTAAATGAGAAGGCAGCTGTTTCTTAGAACAGGAGCAGGAAACTTTATTTGTTAAGAGCTGCATTCCTTCAGGGGAAATCTATCAGGAGCTGCAGCTGCAGCTACAGGCTAGGAGTTGTATGAAATTAGTACAAAGAAGACTAATTGCCCACCCCTGTCCTAGACCTAGGAAACTTTGGGTTTTAAGGTTGCCGATGTAGGCTTGCTTTACTTGAGCTCTATTAATTGAATAGTCCTGTCTTGCCAGTAGCATTTTACCAAATGGCCTCCTTCACATGGGCATGCAAGCTTGCATGTACACTTGTGTATCCAACAGACCTAGAAATGCAGGAACGTTTTGCAGAATTGTTTTTCACTGCTCCTTGACAAAATGGGGAGTTTAGCTCAATATGCCAGCAGTTTAAGCACAGACACATTATTTTACTGTGAATGTTTACAGGAGGAAAATGCACCCTGGATGGGCAGGCCATTCCTAAGAACAGACCCTGCATGGATGATCTTAACCCAGCTATCCCTTTTAAATAGCTGTGGGTGCTACTTCACAGAATCAAAGAACCACCAAGTCCACCTCCACACTCATTGCGGGACCCTAGTTTAAAGCATCCCTGACACATCACTAACCTTTTCCTCCCTCCTCCCCCCACCAAGCCACAGTTCCACGCTTACAACTGCTTTGTCATTCTTGATATATAGGAACAACAACAAACTTGGTTGCAATCCCTGATTTAAAAACAAAATGCTGAGCTGGTGTAGTTTTGCATTTTAAATACATTTAAACCATAGCACCATCAAGACTATAGGAATCAAATGGAATTTGATACTCTTTAAGTGGTCAGTACCTACCTACCTACAACTTTACACAGCTCCCTAGCACACCCTCTGATATCTACAAGTTGAGCATGGCTGTCTGACCAAGGGAATGTTCCCCAAAGGACCTCTAGACCTCCCTGTCGGTTGTACACGTAGAGGTCTATCTGTGTTGGTCTCCGTTGCTCAGACATCCTTGCTCCCTATGTGGACGCTGGACGGTGGCGCCAGACCAAGGCCCACGGTGAACCCTGATCATGCGCACCATGCATGAAGGAGCTCCGTAAGGTTCCAGTAATATAAGGGAGCTATTTAGAAACACTTCTGGTTTGTATGGGAATGATCAAGACCGAGGTTGAGTTTGATGAGCACACGGGGCCCTGCAAAGAGGACTAGATGTCTCCTCCTTGCCACCCTCGCTTCCTCTGTTGCCTGCCCAGCCCCAGCCCAGATTTATTTGTGGCACAGGAAAGCAGCCTGGTTCTGGTTTGCGTGCTGCTCCCCTACCGCCATTCCTCTGCACTATTTGCGTAACCAGCCTCAAAAAGGATTGCCAGGAAGGATTGCGAAGGGCCAGGGAGTTTCATTTCCCATTTGCTGGAGAGAGTGACTGTCTAAGGAAATTCAGAGATATGCTTTCTACTCTGAGCCCTGAAAAATGACTCATTGTGGAAACTTGGTTAAAAAGCTTCAGTTTTTGCACAGGCACAACTGGTTAAAGAAAACATGACCAACCAGGGGCTTGGGAACACAGCAATAGAATACGGGTTCTCAATCCTTTGGGCTCTTGGGCACATTTGGATTTCGAAGGCCCATCCGGTGTGCTTTCACAGAATGGTTTCCAGGGTGGTGCTTGCCCAAATGATTGCCATTGTGTGACTGGTCACAGTCCACTCATACTGTGCAAACCAACCATGTATTTGTGCAAGGTGGAAGGCAGAAGTTCTCAGATATATCACGGACTGCCATATCATAAGGGTAAAAACACAGCTGCCCGCCTGTAACTGCGGTTGTTTCAGCGGGCATTCTCTACAGCCCCACACATGGGCAAGCTCTCATAATCGCTACAGGCAGGACCTTCCAGAAAGCTCTGGAGGAGTAGGAGCACTTGCACACCCATCTGCAGTACAACCACATTCCATACATGATCAGGGAAGGCTGGACCAGCACCTTGTTGCTTCCTCCTGTCCCCCCACTATCCCAGAGAACATGGCTTAAGACTACCTTCTGCAAAGTGAGCAAATGGCTCTTGGACAGATAGGCATCCACTGTGGTGACTGAGGCCCACCGGGACTTTATTTTCTCCCCTTAAGGCCCATGTGTGTGCTTGTGTCCAGAATGTCCAACAAATTGAAGCTTGCAACAACTACTTCAACCAGTAGGTGGCAGATTCCCAAACCAGCACATAGCTTTTCAGTCACGAACAGTTTATGAAGCCGGAGGGACGGAGTTACCAGGCTGGCCCTTCCCTCTTTCTATGGGGCATCCCCACTCTGAGAAATGGGGTGGGGGGACCTCTTTAGCCGGCAGCTGTAGGACCGTACCATGGCTGCGGTTGTGCCTAGGGCTCTCAGTGACCATTGCTGAGGGTGGCCATTGCTAAGTCCAGGCATTGGCAGTTTGCAAGTGTCACGGTATCACAAAAAAATGCCTTTCTCAACGTGTACAAAGTCAGATATGTTCCAAATGAAATGTAGCTGCTCTTCATTCAGTAAGGAGGAAGGAGATATGAAGCGAAAGAAATTTGCATGTGGAACTGGAAATTAGGGAGGAGAGGGATCAGAGATTTGGGAAACAAAGCTTGATGAGACCAGCTTGGGGCCATTAGGACAGAAGAAGTCTTCTGCCTAGTATACTGCAGATGACTCATTGAATTAGAGCAATGCATACGCTGTTGTGAAGGCATCTGCTCTGAGCCGCATGTCATCAAGGAGTCTGCTGGAGATGGAGACAGAGATAAATGCATGTAGGACTATTGCTAAAGGAGGGCCGAGGCTCTGAACTGCCTGAACTCCACAATGGGCATCCCAGCTAACCACACATGCACAGAGACTGGAGTGGCATGCCAACAGTTGTGAAGTTGGGTCACCTGATGGCAGAGCTGGAGAAGGAAGATGGAGGCCAAAGCAGTTGCAACACAGGAGAGGCAAATGAGTGATGTCTGAGATTACTAGGTTTTGCTGGACCTCATTTCAGATGCCCAGTTCCCAAACCCATTTGCAACTGCTCATCCAGACTGGGAAGAAAAAGCAGGAATGAAAGAGCTGGCTGAGTCCATGGCTTCCCCTCCCAATTGGAATCTATCTGATATCTCCAATCTGTGGGATAGTGGTTAGACTCTTGGACAGGGGTTCAGGATCTGGGTCCCCATTTGGGTCATGAAGATCGCTGAATATTTTGGGCCAGACACAGAGTTGTTCCATAGATATAATGGAGAGGATGCTGATAATGTAAGCCAGTTTGAATTCCTCACAAGGGGAAAAAAGGTGGGGTATATAATAATCATGATAAGTAATCACGGAGATAACAGGGGATCCCATTTCATGCCTTTTGCCCTCCCATTTAAGTGTATAGCTTTACGTAGGCCTAACACTGTGCAAGCAAAGACATGCTCAGAGAGCAGGGGATCATGCTACTCACATTGCCTTTGGAGATGTAATTTGAATCCCGCATGATGTCTCTGGCTAGGCCAAAGTCACAGATCTTTACCAGCTTCCCCTCACAGATCAGCACGTTTCTTGCAGCCAGGTCTCGATGCACACACTGCGGAGTAGGAAAAAGACATCTATATTGTGCATCTCCTTTAGCCTTTCCCTGCAAAACCCCCCACTGTGCTCTGCAGCATGCTACTGCAGAAGAAAGCCTCACAAGGAAACTGAGAACTGAGTGCCCAGAGGTTGTGTTCGGACCACAGCTTCAGAGCCCTGGAAGTGCTCCTGCAGTTTTGTCTGCAGTGCATAAACTCATTTTCTTAAGCTACTCTCAGGCTGCAGCCCTCAGTCTTGCTGAGCGTTGTAATGCTTCAAGCGATACCCTGCAAAAGCTGCAGCAAGATCCCAGTAGTGCAATCAGCAACTGCTGCAGGAGACAGGCATGTATTTTGCTTTTGATATGATGACAGCTGTTACCTGTTGTCCAAAGCAGGTTTAGCTTAGAGCAGTTTTCAAATTATGCAAAAAAATGGCACATATCTACAATGATGCAGTCCTTTCAAAGGGGGAGGGAAGTGGAGGTCTGTTGCTCAAAAATATTTGCTCTATATACTGTGCCCGTTATAGGTTACACCAGGGGTAGCGATTCTGTTTTGGGCCCGCAGGCACATTTGGCAATTTGGGAAACCGTCATGGGCACCACCACAAAATGGCTGCCATGGGAGGCATGGTTAGTCACAAAGAACAAGTCACCTTCCTAAACTATTGTGTACAACACAATGGTGGGGTCTGAACCTCACCATACAAAAGAATTCTTTTAAACCCACAGTTTCAGTCCCCCCCCCTTTTTTTTTTCTCCTTCCTTTGCTTGGCTGGGAAATGCAGCTGTCCTTTGTCTTCATTTCCTAAGAATTTCTCTGAATGTAGCTAAAGGCATTCAGGGGAAAAGATGATGGCAGTGGCCAGAAGGCTGCACTTTGCTTGCTGCTGCCAGTCAGAAAAATGCTAATTAACAGTGTGTGTGTGTGGGGGGGGGGGGTTGGGCACCTTGGAAGGCACCAGGCAAGAAGTGGGGGGACACTGATGCCCACAGGGACCATTAATTACTCCTGGACTGAACCATTCTTCAGAGGTAAGTAAGGCAGTTTTCCCCATTCCTTCACCTTTCCTGGAACATGGGGCAAGCAACGGCAATTAGGATTCAGGGCTCAAGAAAACAGTGGGGAAGTTCCCGTCACGTGCCCTGACATGGCAGCATGCTGTGGCCAAGGTTCCAAAAGAAATAGGCAGCATATGTAGCCTGAGAATCTAACATTATGGAATTCTCTCCATGTTGGCTTGAGCCTTTTTGTAGCCTTCTAACAAAACTCTTGAGGGATCCCACCATTAATTAATTAATTAATTAATTAATTAATAGCTTTTATATACTGTCCACTGCAAGCACCTTGGGATGGTTTTACAATAAAAGCAAGACACGATAGAGCACAGCATCCAATTTCCAATAAATAAAACCACCTTAAAAACTATTAAACTTTAAAATAATGGGAAAATAAAAAGGGTTTTGCCTAGTGCCAAAAAGAATAAGCTGGCGCCAGGCGAACCTCTCTGGGGAATGTACTCCATAATCTTTCTTTCTGGGACCTTTCTAGTGCACAGTCCTCTGGCCATTTCAACTGCTCTCTTCCCTTATCGGTGTCCCTTCCCTAGGAAGCGCCATTTGGCCGTACGCTGGGGCTTATGCTTTCCAAGATGTTTGCCCAGCACTGGCCAGCTTCAGGGCGGCCGATATCGCATGTCTTGCGCTCCAGAACAGCCGTACCATGTGGAAGGCCTCTCGTGCAGCCTCCTGTGTGGTAACTCCTAGCAGTGGTTCTGCCTGCTCAAGCGTTACCGCGCTGACCACGCTTCCTTTCCCCACAGCTGCTAGCGCCTGTGAAAAGGATGTCTCAACAGTTATCGAGGACGGCATGGCATCACTGGAGCGGCGCCTTGAAGATATTTGGTGGTGACAAACTGCATTGTGCAATTCAGCTGTGAAACCAAATTACACTGAATAACAGCATGGCCTGGAGCTCGTAATTATGGAGCACAAATGCTTCACTTTCAAACTGGGTATGGAACTGATAGTCTGTTATCCTTCCAACATCAGAAAAAGGCGAAAATTTATTCAAGGAAGACTTTGGATCTGTGTGTTGGGTGGATGCCATTTTTAGTGTTTTATTGTCCTGTAATGTGTTCAGTAGCCTAACCCCATGCCTGTTTAGACAGCAAGAAGTCTGAAAGTTCCCAGCTCTCCTCAGCCAGCTGGGCAGGGTAGGAAGTGCTGGGAGTTGTAAGGGATTTTTTTGGTCTAACTATGCATAGGATTGCATAGGATTGCACTTTGACTCCAAACAGTTTGCACTTCAAACTGTTTACTAAGCCATCCTGAGTGCCATTATTTAGTAGAAAATAAGGATACGAGTCCAGTCTATTGGGAGGGATGGCTGTTTTGAGCACTCAATCTCAAGGACTGTTGGCCACAATGCAGAAGATTCAGAATTGGAATGTGCAGCAGATCAAAGGGGAGCTGGGGAGGATGGGACATGCTGACACTGAGATGAAGGAGGCAGACATGCTTATCTCAAGGCCAGATTATTCGGCAGGGCAGGCACAGGCAGTTCCTGGAAATAACTAAGAGGTACAGCCAAGGGGAGGGGCTCTGGGAATGAGGAATTTTCTGACGGGAAACCAGGCAGCCCCAGCTCTTGACCGCATGACGAGGCGTCAGCAGAGCTGGACAGCCTGATTAAATGATAAGCACTAGATTGGGTTCAACAAGCTGCTCTGTGCATGCTCAGAGATTCGTTCTGGGAGATTTGTACTTGGGAGCAATAAAGAACATGTTGCAAGGAAAATGGTCTGTGGCATTTGACTGCTTGAAAGAGGAATCTTGGCACTTGGCACAATCAGTCACAAAAGCCTCTGCTTTCCTTCTTTTTGTTTTTTAAAAGTAAGTTTTTAGCCATCTAAGTTTCAGAGAAACTTATGGAAATGACAGAAACTAGTAAAAGACTGCAGTATTATTCGCTGTGGCTAGGAGGCATAGCTGCAGTGGCTGCATTGGTGCTGTGCCTTCCCCATGGTGAGCAGAACCAGAATAAAGTGTGCAAAATATATGCACATGTGTTTATTTCCAAGAGGTATACCAATCTCTACACCAAGTTTTTCTTCAGACAGAATGTGGCTTAGTTCAACACAGATTTTTTTAAAATTACAGCCTCAGTTGTTGCTGCAACATGGCCTTCTCCAAGCTGATGCCTCTGGCTACCGTGGCCTGCAATGGCAGCTTCTCCCAAACACCATGGATGACTGGAGCATGCTGGGAGTTCTAGGCCAACACAACTGGAGGACAACTGGTTGGAGAAGGCTGCTGTAACAGACCTGAGCAGGCATCCCACCCTCTACAGCCCTGCTTTCAGACCTAGTTCTGGTGGCTGCCCATTTTTTGTGGCATGTCGACATCAGTTTGTGATTAAGACTGATCAGAAAATTACATTCTCTTATTATCTATGTGAGTTCCAGTACTGTCTATGTGAAGATTCCTAACATCTTGAATGAAGGATAGAATAGTGTAGCATTAACAGCCTGAGCTTAGAGAAAATGGCTTATACGACTGCCTGGCGACAATGACACACGCTTCGGTGACTTCCCGCCTTGACTTCTGTAATGCGCTCTACGTGGGGCTACCCTTGAAGACAGTCCGGATACTTCAATTGGTTCAAAATAGGCTGCTGACGGGGACTGGGCGTTATGTTCACATGACTCCAGTCCTCCGTCAGCTTCACTGGCTTCCCATTGAAGTCCGGGCCCAATTCAAGGTGTTGGTGATGACCTGTAAAGCCCTAAACGGCTTGGGTCCTGGCTACCTGAAGGAGCGCTTACGTCCATATATGCCCGCCCGCCCCCTGAGATCTGTGGGAGAGGCCCTTCTCCGGGAACCCTCCGGGAAGGAAATTAGGAGGGTAGGTACTTGGAGGAGGGCTTTCTCAGCGGTGGCGCCCAATCTATGGAATGAGCTCCCCAGAGAGGTCCGCCTGGTACCGTTGTTATTTGTTTTTCGGTGCCAGGAGAAGACCTTTTTATTCAAATGTTATTTTAATTGCTAATATAATTTGCTTAATTCTTCAGCCAGAGCTACTTATTTTATAATGCTAATGTGTTTTATATTTTTAGTGTTTTATGTTTTAACTGATGTTGTAAGCCGCCCCGAGGCTTCAGCGAATGGGGCGGCATAGAAATTTTTAAATAAATAAATAAATAAAGCAATGATACATATTCTTGCTTTACGGAATGCAATGGTTCTGCTCCCTACACTGTGTAATTAGGCAAACAGTGCCTCTTCTGAGGAAGAAGGAAGTTGTAATGTCTAAAGAGCAATATCCCGGTGTCTAATAACACATAAATCAACAGTCCTGTCTACACTGCTAAGAAAACCTACTGAGGTACCCCTGTTTTCCCCCACTGGCTTTCATGCCTTTATTTTTCCAAAACCAAGCACCAGACAAACAACACTTTCTCCTTTGAAGCCAGTCATCCCTAGGAATGATTACATAATTCTGAATACACAAGTATATTTACATTTTTGGAAGCTAAGAACGCCATTCCATTGGCCACTTGGAAACTAACTCCAACAAGGTCTGCGTAGCTGAGGAGGGGAGACTCATTTATCAGTGTCACCTTTTCGGAAGCTGGGAACACAGAGCAGAGGCACAAGAAGTTGTTTATTATTTGGTTTCCAAAGCATACAAAGATGGGGTTGGAAGGGACCTGAGAGATCATCTAGCCCAAGCCCAGCTCAATGCAGGCTCTGCACTGCAAAGTGCAGCTGCAACACCCCTGTCCGATGGCCATCCCACTTATGCATAAGATACACTACAAATTTCACCTAACACAGGACCTTGAAATGCTAGAATGTGAGACAAAGACATTTCAGGGGAAATATTGAGGGTTGCTTCTAATGACACTGACAGAACCATCACATCAGGAACATGTAACCTGCACCCTCCCATGACCCCCTCCATTCACTTTAGGGTTAGGGTTTCTCCTCAGTCCTGCCACCTCTGCCACTGATGGTTTGATTCTCCTCTCAATGCCACTTAACCCATGGGCACTACTACTTGATCACCTCCATCTTCTGCAGTGATGCAGAGTTTCAGTGCTGCCCATGTCTGCAAAGGCTCTGGGAGTCAGGGGCTCCTAGAGGACAGGAAACTGGTCGGAGTGCATTTTGCAAAGGAAATTACAGAAGGAAGCATTCACTTTGCAGGAGGTGGAGGAGGAGGAGGGCGTTTGAGGGAAAGCAAGGTAAATCAGCAGTTGAAAAAACTTTCAAGCAGTTGAAAAAACTTGCATAAATTAATGCACAACCCTTTGCATGTTTAGCAGGAGAAGAGACTTACAGCTCCAAACATGTCCCAGCTGTCTAACCATGCACAGGATTGCATCTTTAACGGGAGTAAATTTATATACGTTAAATGAAATAAAATTGGAGGGGCAGCATGATGAAGGTGCCAGAAATTTTTGCCAGAAAGTAAAGTCATGGACTATAAATAGCTAAAAGGGAAACAGGCAAGGAAAAGGCCCCCCAAAACCTGGCCCATCCCCAGTCTGGAAATGGTCCTGCAGTGAAATTACAGCATAAACAAAACCGTCACTTCTCTACATTAGCTGTTAAAGCACTAAAGCCACTATAAACTGACACAAGAAGGTACTCCTGGGTGCAGCATTCCTGAGTTCACTTCCCAGGAAAGGCTTACCTGAGGGGGAATAGCTGTCCAGCTCGTAGGGAGTGCCATAATTGGAGGGGTCAATGTCCACATACTTGATTTCCCCCTTCCTGTCTGACATGGGCATATAATCCAATGACTCATCCTTACTCATATCCATGTAGCCCCCATCGCTTTCTACAGACAAGGAAGTATGGCTGCAGGGAGGAAGACATTTAGTCCAACACTGTCTCTGCCTTATTAGGATAGGCCTATGAGAAAGAGGAGAACCTCTAGAAAAAAGCAGGAAGAAATGAAACACAGCACTGCTCAGTTGTGTTTCCTCTCCCACTCCTTCATGGCCATTTGCAAAGTTCCTCAAAAACAAACACAAGCGGAAACAAAGAAAAGGAAGGCACAACACAAAGTAATCTATTGACATGAGAAAGAGAATGCAATAAGTAGCTATAGACAAGCACCTGCTTCTGCTTGGGTTAGGAGGGTTCATCCCAGCATATGAGGTAATTAGTATTACACGTGGCACATTGGTTGGTATAAACACATCCATGACCAGCGTTATATCAAAAAGGCTGACTATCGGAAGCACATGAAATGTATGCTTCATTTATTTTAGCTCACATTTTCAGCAATTTAAGGATATGCAATGGAACATGCATACATCTGTAGATGCTTAAATGAACATTTAAAGCACTATAGTAAAATAGGCCTCCCCTTACCCTCCCCTAGGGTAAGACACAAAACAATATAATCCTTAGAACATAGACCCTACAACAGAGGTGGTGCTTTATATTGGAAGATTGTGCAAATAGTTTGAGTCTGCTTGGTCAGGAAGCAGCAAACAAACTATGTGATGGTGGAATAAAATAAAAAGATCACAGTAGAAAAATGTATCTGAATGGAAATCAGAATAAACCTCCAACTATCATATCATATTTACTATATATGACACTATGATACTATTATCAGATGGTAACTATTCTTAGAAAGAATTCTATCCAGTAAAATACCTAATCTTTCAGACTGATTTTGTTATATGCAGACAGCATATTTGTAGCCTCCTCAGTGGAAGAAAATTGTGTAGATAGGAGAATTTATATAACTGAGTTTCACATATTAAAATCTAGGGTTATATATTCAGATGCAAGCTATAATGTCGTATAAGTGAAATTCTCTAATCAGGACTTCATTTAAAGAGTATATATTTTGTTAAATCAGTCCATCCAATCCAACTGCTGGGATAGATAGAGAATATGCACAGCTTGAGGCACTTGGATTTTCCCTTCCCTTAATGTGGAGCAATAGACACCACACAGCAGAGAATGTTACATGGCATTACTACTTTCTTGTACAAGAAAGGGAAGAAAAATGCCTGATGGATGCAACATTACTTTATCCTGAGGATCCATTTGGAAAGACTTTCCCTTTCAAATTACCTTGAAGTTATTTTAAAGAATTAACTTACAGCTTTTGCTTTTGTTTTGTTTGTTTTGCATTTCCCCACAAGTGGCTTGACTTATTTTCTTCAATTATATGGATGATTTTCCTTGCATTCTCCAGATCCATAGTGAGTCAGATCAACGGCCCACTTTTATTTTTGCAGATTCATCACCACCACCATGTAGCTGATTAACAAGTGATAGCATTCATACGCAGAATGAGTGCCCATGTGGATTTGTTATGTGTAGGTGAGTTCCAGAAGCTTCTCACCTTACAAATACCATTTCAGGCCAAGGAAGCTTCTCTTAGACCCAAGCAGCTTAGACAAAGTAGTATCAAATCTAGGTAATGGGCCAGTTTGCACAATCACAACCGGAGAAATAAGCCATGGTGGCTTATTTCCCTCACTGCACATGCCTTGAGAGATTAATAGAACTAACTACCTTGGCAGCCCAGCTTGCAGGCAGAACGGTTGCTGCCTGGTTAACAAGCCACAGGAGATTCCTACAGCAGTCCATGGATTCCAGGTGTCTTGTGAACCATGGCAACAAGCCAGCCTGGCCACGTTCCCATGACACAACAAGTTGGCAGTGTTGCTAATCCCCCAGCAGGCAACCAGCCATGGTGGCTTCTTAACCATGCCGTGATTTTGCAAATCAGGCCATTCACTCCCTTGATAATGACAACAACAAAGTCACGGAGAACTAAAAATTACATGAACACATCAACATGGGGGAAAGCCAGTTCTATGCGGGATTTGCCAGCATTTAACTTTGCTTACATAGAGCAAATGACCTCTAAGTTTCTGTTTCAGTACAGCAGAAAAGCCATGACTGTAACGGAATAACTGCTGCATACACTAAAGCGAGAGGCAAATGCTGATTCACAGGCACCTTTGCATCTGGTCCACGCTGGGGGCATTCCCATACACCTCAGCTTCCTGTTTGGCTTTCTCACTCCAGCTCTGCAGGAAAGTGTGCTTGTTCCTGTGTAAATAGTCCACCAAGTCTCCATACCGACAGTATTCCGTTATGATGTAGATCGGCCCTGTGGAGAAGAAAATCGCCAGTGAGGTCTGCAGCTGGGTTCCCCTGCGGAGGGTCCAACAAGAGGCCTTAACTGTGACTTCCCTGGGCAGCCACTGCAAGCCAGGTGGGCCCCACCTGAACGAAGGCTCCTCCAGGTAGCAACAACGAACACAAGAATCCATGCATGAAAACTAGCATGTCTGGAAGAAGCTAGGCTGAACGCTTCATCCTGACTGTCGGAAACATTTTGTCCAGAGGAGCTTTTTTCAGTTATGTGAATTCCCACCTTCAGTCTGTACATGAAGGTCATATACAGCATATATGAACTAAAAGTGTGTGTGTATAAGAGAAAGAGTTGGAGCAGGGGGAGAGAGAAACATGCTTCTTATAAAAGTTAAGACGACATTGCTTGCTTTCTCTCCATGCTTTTCTTAGAAACATGAATTCCACATGTCAGCATCTTTCACACAGGCATCCTGAACTGTGTTGCTATTCCAGAGTGCTCTCGTTGCACCGTATGCCACATGTGCAAGGACCAAAGCCGTCATCAGACAGTGAAGAGTAAGAGCTTGCCCACTTAGACTTCAGAATAAAAAGGGCTGGGGCAGCAGCTGCACGTGTTGCTGGAAATGGGGCAAATGTGCACAAAATAATGCAGCAACAGGTAAGGAAATGTATATCATGCCAAAATGAAATGCAACGCCCAAACATTGCAGGAGCATCTCAGCGCCTAAAAGTGAGGCCAGGGGCCCTGAGGCAAAGCATCCCTCAGCAAGGCAGGCTTGTCCAGCAGAGGTGCTGGGAGAGGGATGCCATTGAACTGGTGTCCACCTCAGGTAGATGCTTCACAGCCTGCATTCACTGCTGCCCAGATTTGGTACGAAGCAATATGCATGGCCCTAGTTAGCCCAGCACCTGAGTCACATCTCCTTCTATCCAACAGGGCCACGAAAGGAGCCTGTGGCTGAGAATGATGGATTTGCTGAAAGTAAAAGGGTTCCACACAAGGAGCGGGCACAGGGCTCTGGCAGGCATCCTGGGACAGACAGCTGGGGAGACGGTGGGAGAGAGCATTCTTGTTTCCACAGTATGGAGATGCAGATAGTGATGGGGGAATTGGCAGGTGTTCTTTTACCATCAGGAAGCCACCAGTGGATGAACAAGAGTGGTGCAGAACACCAAGCGGAACAGCCCCTCTCTCTTCCTGCCAAAAGGCGGATCAACTATTAATATTACCCATGTTATGATGAGAGCGATCAATTAGCAGCCCTAGGCAAGGTTTGCATGCATAGCAAGAAGAGAAGAAAGGTCGGGGCACAGGGATGTGCCCAAGTCAACACAGAACACAAAGATGCTGGTACCTGCTTTGGTGCAGGCTCCAAGCAGGTTGACAATGTTCAGATGAGGCCCCAGGTGACTCATGATCTTCAGTTCTGACATCAACGCCTGCTTCTCACTGCTTCGGGCAGTAGCTGTAAGGGAGATGGATCAAGTGATGAAATATAGAACAAAAAGCTTTATAAAGGTACCCAGGGAAAGAAGCGGCCTGGACCTATCCATGGTCTTCAGAAAAATAGGAACCCCAGCAAGGCACAGAGAGATGATCAGTGTGGGAGACCAGTGGAAAGAAACACCGAGGGCCAGTGCAGACATGCACAAACAGGCTTAGATCAAACTGAAAGGCTGATTCAGGTGTCACTTTTAGCTCACCTGGCCATTGCCAATTCCCTGTCCCCACCCTGTATGGCACTGTTAATGACAGGTGTACACAGCCCAGGCCAGGTACAAACCATGAGTGATTCCATAGCACATTGGATTTGGGAGGTGGCGAAACGTTACTGTGTTCAACCCTGCATTTTTCTTTTGTGATTTTCCCCCTTGGGCACAGAATATAGACAGGGAGGTGCAAAACAGCACAACAGCAAAGGAAGCTCTGGATGACTACAAATGCCATCAGTTTTAAATTATATAAGAAAAATATATATTGGTAACCACTGAGTGATTTTATAATATATTTAGAGCTTCTCCCCACATCAGCAGCTGTGATGGATTCCGAAAGTGGCTGTTCTGAATCTGGAAGATGCAGATTCCTAAGAGGGGAAAAAGAGAAATAGTTGTGGCACAAAGCTCATGACCTGTCCACAGATTAAAGCCATGTGGATGAAGACTTGTGTGTCGCTAGATCTGGACACACATCAGTATCCTTTGCTTGTTCAATCTGGAAGCAATTGTAAGAGCTTCTCTAAATGAGGAGTTTAACCTGGTGCTTTCCCCTCACTTTCTTTGCAGGAGAAAGAGTGCTGTTAGTTTCCCTGCATTCCCTTATTTTAAATTATACAACCATAAGATGGTGCCGCAGTGTAGTGCAATTCTGGAATTTGTTGTTTAGTCACAAAGTCGCACCTGACTCTTTGTGTCCCCATGGACAAGCCTTTATTCTAGTTTGTTGCACCTTAAAATTTGTTACCTCATTATCCCTGCCAAAGCTCACAAAAATGGCTCTGAATTGTGGGAGAGGTGCTGGAGGATAGAAACCTCCAGTAAACAAGGCACCAGTTTCTGTGAGTGAAAGATCACAAGCACACAATAAATTCCTCATTTAGAGAAGTCCTTAATCTAAGATATTTTTTGCAGCTGCATTCAAATGCCATAAGCTTTATACCACTCATCTCCTTGGCTTTTTTCCCCTTGGGAATTTCCATCTCCCAGCACTCCAAACTGCTGTCCTTAATATCCATTTAACTTCATTGTTATTGATGAGAACAGAAGCCAAAACGTATTTTAAAATCACTATGTTAGATATTTCATATCTCAACATCCTGTTTGTGTGTGCATGTGTATCCCATGCCAATAATCATTAAATACACAAGCAGAAGAGTGGTGAATGGTGAAAACATATTGTATGTGAAATGAATTAGAAAGGCAGATGTGGGAAAAGAGGGTAAACATTTGGATGCTCCTGCACAGGAAGTGAGAGAAGAGATTCCACACTCACACTTGAGCATTTTCACAGCAACCCTCATGGCGGACTGCGAGTGGCTCAGGCTGTGGGCTATTGCTTCCACCACACGCCCAAAAGCTCCAGAGCCCAGCGTGCGTCCTGTGCACACAAATGCATATATATTATCAAGAGCATCATAAGAAATAATAATCAAAGTTACTGCCTCTTGCTAGATACTAACAGCCATGGGAGAAGCTCTCAAAACAACTGCATGGAAAATGCTGAGCTCCTAACTTGAAAGTTTAGACAGCACAAGTTATTCCACTGCGGAAATGAATAAAATTGATGTCTGGATAAGAGCTGTTGTGCTTCCAAATTAGGCTTTTATCATGCAATTGCATGAATTCTGCCTCATGGACAGAATTCTAGGAATAAAATCCCTTTTATGGGTGGCATCATCTTCAACTTGTAAACTTCCCATGTTTCTTCTCTTTGCCACAGAAAATGCACGATGGAGGGAAGATGGAATAGCAGCCCAGTGGTGGCAGTGCTGGGAGCCTTCTGTCTGGAATGATGGCTGATGGGCTGACTGTGCTCCCAATGGAATTCCTCCACATAATGCTGCTTACATTCTACATGTGACCGCTAGGTGGGAGCGCAGCACAAATTCCACAGCAGTTCTGTCTTCTCAGCTGTTTACGGGTGGTGCGACTTCTTACATGACTTATGTTACTTTCTCAGGTACAGACTGATATTTATAGCCAACCTTCCCTATTGCTTTATAGGATTTAGACATTCCGCTAAAACATATTTTGAGTGGTTCTAATAGATGGTCTCTTTCTTCCAGTTTTTATTTAAAGTATTAGTGATAAAAACAACTCTTAGATGCTTCTAGTTCATGACCATTTATGAAGGAACGGAGGTAAAAAGATTAAGAAAGGAGGAGGAGAATCTCTTGTAGTATCACCTCATTTATCTTTTCATTTGGTAAACTTGGATATGGTTCTGCAAGCAATTATATTTTTATATGATCACCACGCCATGGTAGCTCTTTGCTGTTTATGTTCTCATTTTAGTATGCAATCTCCCAAAATAAGCATTTTTCTACAAATAGAAGTGTGATGAAGTGCATTTGATGAAATGCAAATAGCAAAGTATAATTGCACTTCAGCTCACTTACTAGTTAAGGAAGTACAGATTTTATTTATTTATTTATTTATTTATTTATTTATTTATTTATTTATTAAAACATTTCTATGCCGCCCCATTCGCCAAAGCCTCCGGGCGGCTCACAACATAAACTTAAAATACAAGAAATAACAATATAAAATAAGTCGCCCTGGCCAGATAAAATAAGCAAATAATATTAACGATTAAAATGACGCTTAAATAAAAAGGTCTTCGCCTGGCACCGAAAAACAAATAACGACGGCGCCAGGCGGACCTCTCTGGGGAGCACATTCCATAGATTGGGCGCCACCGCAGAGAAAGCCCTCCTCCGAGTACCTACCCTCCTAATTTCTTTCACGGAGGGTTCCCGGAGAAGGGCCTGTCCCGCAGATCCCAAGGGGCGGCTGGGCATATATGGATGTAAGCGCTCCTTCAGGTAACCAGGACCCAAGCCGTTGAGGGCTTTATAGGTCATCACCAACACCTTGAATTGGGCCCGGACTTCAATGGGAAGCCAGTGAAGCTGACGGAGGACTGGAGTCATGTGGACATAACGCCCAGTCCCTGTCAGCAGCCTGGCAGCTCTATTTTGAACCAATTGAAGTATCCGGACCATCTTCAAGGGTAGCCCCACGTAGAGCGTGTTACAGAAGTCAAGGCAGGAAGTCAACAGCGCGTGTGTCACTGGATTTGTCACTGGATTTTTTGGTGGATTTGTCTTAAAATGCAATCCAAATGACTGTTCTTCCATTCCTAGCAAAAAGACATGAAGGGGTAATATTTGTCCCCCCTGGAAGAAGCAATGGCAGCTGCCAGCCACCTGGCAGAAGAGAGTTACTAGAAGTGATTTGTCCCTTTCATGCTTAGTGGCACCAGTTGTTCATCACTGAACCTCTCCCTTGGCCTGTTCCTCTCCTCACCTAGCACCAGCTTGTCCCTGGGAACTTCCCAGCTGGAGTCATAAGGAAGCTGCATGGGGTCCACATAGATATATTCATGTCCATCAGAGCTAACTGACTCAATCACCTTCCAGCGGATTTCGTAGCGAGGTTTCTGGACAGGGAGAAAGTGGGGTGTTAGGAAATGGCTGTGCTTTGTTGGGTACAGCATCGCTGCAGGGCAAGGCAGGCCCAGGAGGCCTAGCAGGAAGGCTCCCACATGGTATCCCACAGAAGGCAGCTCACACGCGAACCCGTTCTCTGTCTCCATAGTTCAAGGCTTCTTGGTGAGGGATGCTGCCTCCCCTACAAGGCAAACCAGCTGGAGACAGTGACATCACAGGCTCAGCACCAACCACTGCACAGTTAGACCCATTGAAATCTCGCTGAGTTCAGTGAGGCTTCTGTGTACATCACTGCTCTAAATTGGGCCCTGTGGTTTATCTCTCCTACCCGCTTCCCAAGCCCTGCACAGCTTGCAGCAGCAATGCAAAAACAACTACTCTTCTTCGTTGCATCAAGTATTTTGTCTACATTTTGCCAACATTCTTTTGCAAACACCAATGAGTTCTCCCCACCGGCATACATTATTTAAAATTGGGAAATTGCAATGGGGGGGTGATTTTAGAATTGGAATGTCAGGTGGCTTGTAGCCTACTGCCTCTGCTCAGCACCTTCCTCAAGACCTCTCCTGAATTGCCACATTTTCCATGAATACTTTCTGATTTGCATTCCAACTTTATTCTTCATGACTGTGGCCAGCACCTGACACCCGACAGTCCATAGTAGCTGAACATCAGCCAATCAACTCATATCTTGAAACCCAATCCTAACATCCCATAGTTAAGGAGTGAAAGCTTTATAGCAATTGCCAGAGCAATTCTGTTTGATTTAAGATGAGGGAACATGGTTCACTACCTGCCTCACCATGGATCTTTCACTGAGAAAGGAGACAACCAGACTCTTACCTTTCGCCACAGCACAAAGAGGATCACCAGGAAAAGACACATGAGCACCAGCAGGGCCAAGATCACTGAGATTATGATCACTTTAAAGGGCAAATCTGAAACAGTCAGCAAATGCAGAACCATTAGACTTCCGCAGCCAGTCATACTCAAATATTTTTATTGATCAGAATGGCTCCCAAAGAATCTTACAAGATAAGAAGAAGAAGAACAGCAACCGCAGCAATAATAACAATTCTCTTATAAAACAAAACACACAAATATTATTAGCAGTGGTTCATCTTGAGAGTGTGGCATGGTGGTTTGAGTGCTGGACCGGGGACCTGGGAGACCTGAGTTGTAGTCCCCAATCAGCCATGGAGCCAACTGGGTGAATTTGGGCCAGTCACGGACTCAGCCCAACCTGCCTCACAGGGTTGTTGCTCTGAGGATAAAATTGAGAAGAGGAAGATTGTGTCAGCTGACTTGAGTCGCTCGCAAAAGGGGACAAGGCAATGTCATCACCATCACCATCTCGTTTTTAACAGAATCAGCACGCAAGTCAGCACTGTCAGAAGGTCTTGATCAGCACCTCTTCCTTACTGCATCTTGGGACCCAGAAGGTTACTCATGTCCAGCCTTCCCCAATCTGATGTCCTTCAGCTATTTGGGGCCACAACTCCTATCATTCACAGTCAATGAATGTGTGCTGGGACTGATGGGGTTTTAGTCACACACATCTGCCAGGCTCCAGATCAGAGAAGGCTGCTTTAGTCCAAGAGGGATAAAAAGCCCACACTCTCCAGAGTTCTGCAACTCTTGCATTATGTACAGTAACTAAGCCAGCCTCAGATATCTGGCATACCCCAGGGGATTCTGCTCATAGTCACAGCAGAACACTATTTCAGGCATGATAGTAATGCATGGAAAGGGGGAGATAAAGCCTGATCTCCACACACTCAGAGTAGGTCCTGAAAACTCTCCTGCATGCCATTTTTTAGCAGAAAGGCAGGGCAAAAAGAAAATAATAAAATCCCTCCGCTGTATATACTAAGGGATTGTCCAAGTCTTTAGGTAAGGTAAGATAAGGTAAGATGCAAGGTAAGATCTCTGTCACTTCTAGCAAACCACTGCAGCCCTGGCACAGAACATTAAAAAAGGAGGTGCCGGGGGGCATGACTGCTTTGCCATGCGACAAACCCCTTAGCGTAACTCAGTTCACATGCCAGGCCTCCTTTGCCACCCATGTGAAACAGGTCTTATACTCTATGCTCATCTGGCCCCATCACAAAGGAGGAAAGGAAACAATAGTTATATAGAGGCAAAAAGAATGGAGTCGGCAGCAAAAGACTGCCCTGCTGTGTGTTGCTTTCCTGCCCCCTCTGATTTGGGGGGACTGCACCTCAGAGCACCTGCTTAGCATGCAAAAAGCCCCAGGTTCAGTTTCTAGCATCCCCAAGCGGGGCTGGGAAAGATCTTGCATTCACTGCTCTAGTGCCTCCCATGTCAGTGGGACTATGAATTCACTGCAGGCCCTGGGGCTGAACTTCAGAGGACCTATCCATGGTGCTGAAACTAATTTGTGGGGGAGGATGACTATGAATACAAAGATAACTCCTATTTTTCTATGCTGAAACCTGGAATGGATGGCGTTTTAACTTCCACTGCTTGGTCTGAAACTCTGGAGAAACACTTCTAGTCAGGGCAGTACTGGGCAATATAGACCAGTGGTCAGATCTGAAGCAAGGCCACTTCCTGTATTTGTATGAGTGACCTGTGGAAAGGAAAACATTTTTGAAGATCAGCCACTCCAGTCAGCTTTGCTTTTTTTCAAATCTTTTACAGCTGGAGAATAGGGGAAGCACACAGAGAGTGTTTCAGTGAAAAAGAACAGAGAAGATGAACTTTGTAGCAGGTTTGGGATCTGATCAGATAATGGGCTGGTTGGGTGGCACTGGGGGCTTGTAGAAGAAATTGGACTGTGCATTTACTAAAAATAAACATTACACTTCTCAGTCTTTTCTTTCAGTTTAATGCCATCTGCTTTTGGAACTCAGCATTTATGTTTGCTATGTTCATGCCTTTAACCATGAAAATTCTGAACCTGTTTGTGCATTAAAAATCTGCCCTGTGATTCTAGATGAAATGTAGGGTGCCCATCAGAGACCCTGCACCATTTCTGCAAATCTAGAGTAAAGAAGAACACTGTGCATACATATTTCAAAAGACATGCATGGAGGGACTCACTCTGTGGGACCAGGGTGATGCTCTGAGAATCTGTCCCCAGGAGATTTTGGGTGACACAGCTGAGGAAGACGGGGTCATTCAGTTTGTGGAGCTGCAGCTTGCTTGTCACAATGTACATCTTCTGGTCATCATGATATGTGGCATTCACTTGCAAATTAATCTCTTCAGAGGTATTCCCCAGGAGCCTGGTGACTTCCTTGTCACACCTGTTTTGGAAGGCATCAGCCAATGGAGGAGATGCTTGATTCATTTATGCTCCGTCTCCTATGCCTGTCTACTCAGAAATAAGTACCACCTAATTCAAGGAGGCATACCCACAGATTAGTGTGCATGGGAATGCATGCTTGGGCACTAATCTGACCCTGCTAATGCGACCCACACCATGGCTTGAAAGCACGTGAGGCAGCAGCTGTGCTGAAGCTGACCCTGGGCTGGGGGAACACCTGGGGAGCTCAGGTGCACCAGGTTGCCTTCTGCAATGAAAGGCAGGTAGGCAGGAGATGGCTGTAATAACAACAACCTCTGGAGTGAACCAGTCATGTGCAAGACAGCGGTGCTGCATGCCACTGAATACTCTTGCCAAGCGGGGTAAGAACTCTCCTCCTCTTCTGGGAGTTGGGGAGAGAATACTCAGGACTGTGGAGAAGGGATGCTTAAGATAACACAGAAAAGCAAAGATAGCTTCTTATGCTTCATGACTATCTGCTCCCTCTGCCCATTGTAGCTGCTATTTTAAAAAATAAACACAAAACCCAATCCCCATCTCCCCAGTGGGGGACTGAGATCCCAATGAAATGTGGATGTTTGTTGAAAAAACCTGGAAAACGAAAGGTGGTGGGGTGGGGGAATGGCCTGCTGGAGGAAAATACAGCTGGCAGGAGAGCAGTAGTCCTATTCAGAGGTGAAAAGATGCCACAACATTTTGCCTGTAGGTCTCACAGGTTGCCATGTGATTATTGCCAGCCCTTCATGAGCAGCATGGCAATGTGAGCTGGACACACCCGCTGCATGACACAGTTGCCGAAATGTGCAGGAGAGTCCCTCATCTCTGTCTTCAACTCCATACGTTCCTGCGCAGAATTCTAAGCACAGAAGATCCTGGGACAATGGTCTCCTCACCGTTTCGCATCATTGCAGGTATACCAGGTCACGTCTGGCTGGGGCATCCCTTCAGTGACACATGTCACGGTGTGCTCGCCACTGCTGCTGTTGCTGTCTTCTCTCAGAATGGACACCCTCGCTTGGACTGGATATATTGGAGGAAAGAACACAACACATAACCGGTTAAAGAAAGTCAGGAAGAAGTTGGTTTTCACAATAGAGGGAATTAAGCTGCAGGCCCCTGAAGGGTTTATATTACAGATAGTACCAAAAGTTATTTATGTAATCTGAATAAATAAATAATGCCACAGTCTATTTAGAAATGCCACAGTCTATTTAAAAATGCATTTATTTGTGCAAGTTTTTCAGAAGAGGGTGTAGGCAGGTGTTGTAATGATGGTTTTACTGCATTTCTATCATATATCTTTAGGGTTGTTACATTAACTGTGTTGATGTGCTTTATTTTTTAATATGGGTTCTCAGCTGCCTTGAGCTTGTGCAAGGAAGGGTGGGAAGTAAATAGACACTCTGTTCTGATGGTTAGGCATATAAAATGTCCCATTTCCAGATTACAGTCCAGCTGTCAGATAGTGTCTTGGGCCAATTTCAGGGCCTGAGCTTATCTGGGAACACCCTAGCAATTTTGATGCTCGCGTGAGCCAGTCAAGTCATTACAGAGCAAACCAAGACTCTGTGGGCGGCTTATGTTGGTAGACGTAACAGAGTGTTGCAGTCACGCTCCTGTGCCCTGCCTACTGCACAGTCTGCAGCTGAAATGATTATTGTTTTAAGGAGCAGAAAGTGTGGCAGGATTAACCAGCCGTTCCAGAGCATGTATGGCAATGCTGCAGCTGTCCCCCTTGTGGCATACTGTGCCAATGGCACCGCCACAGTGGTCTTGCGTTGAGGAGCCGATCCACGCATGGCAACATCAGAACGCCTCCATGAACATGCAGGCCACAAACATGGCAGACAGGAAGATGCTGGTACTGAAAGGACTGGGGCTCAAGGCCCCAGGACCAAAAACAAAGGCAAGCAAAGAAACTTGCATGAACTGATTTAAATATGCTCTGAATTCTGTAGAGGGCCTTGTCCCCAAAGGACATTGCTATCATTAAAATGAGATGTACAGGCAGTGGAGAGGAGGTCATTTGATTCCAGAAAAGAAAACCTCAGGCAGAAAAAACCAGCAGGATGCTGGCGCGGGCTAAAGCACACATAGGGAAAAGGCCAGCTAATCAGATGCAACAAAGTTGGGACCACTGTGCCCTTGGGACCTCTGTGCGCAAGGACAGCAGGGTAGTGGGCCAGATGGCTTTCCAGAGATCTCAGGCTTCAGATGAAAGATTTGTGACTCCAGCCCTAACAGGCAAAGTCCTAACCCTGCCTCTGTTCATCGGCTGTGGTACAATCAATGTGAGTCCACTAACGGATGCTCTTCATACTTCCTTACAAATGGTATTCTGAATCTCCTTCACTCCCTCTCAAATGAGAACACACACACCTGGCACCCCCTTCATCCCATCCACCCCTGCGTGGTCAGCCACAGCCTTGTGGTGGAATTTCCTAGCAGACCTTGTCACTCTCACCCGTCCCTTTCCTGCCCCTCTGCCCTGCCACCCACAGTTCTTGCAGCCCACACTTTATACATTCCCAACAGCACAGATATCAGGAGAAACTAGAGCAGGGGTCTCAAACTCAACTTACCTGGGGGCAGTCTGGGTGAGGCTGGGCCGCATCAAGTATTCCACCCCCACGGTGGTGGTGGGCCGCTCATCCCGCGTCGCTCCCGGAGGCTGGCCCGGGCGCCACCGGTGCTTTGAAGGCCGCAGGGCCCCTCCCCCCTGCCCCGCCCGGCCCGGCAATTGGCCCACGGGCCGCAAGTTTGAGACCCCTGAACTAGAGAGAACAGGGACAACATAAGGAGCCTAAGCTCCAGAAGGGTGTGGTGAATGCTCTTCTGAAGAGCTCTGTGCGGAAGCAAGAGGCAAGGAAGAGGCTCATGACCACATGGACACAGTTGCGAAACAGGCAATACGTTTATTGGGAAGGATCAGTGGTACAGTAAGTCCTTGAAGCAAGACAGGTGAACAACCTTGTTCCAGTGGTACCCCCTGCACTTTTGAAAGCTGCTTGGTGGAGAGCAAAGCACTGGGGTGGCCTTCACCTCCATCGCATTCCCCCAGTGTCTGCACCTGTTGCCTAGAAGTCAAGGGTCTTGCACAGCTGCAGGAGCACTGTGAGAAGGAAAAGGGGTGCTACACAGGGAAGCAAGTCAATTTGCGCTTGTGGTTGCTGCTGCCATGGCCTCCTTGTGGTCTATGAAGTGGTGGGCTTAGGAATTCTCCTTGCATCGACACCTCTCATAGGGCTGCCTGGAAAGAGACAGAGAGAAGCAGGGGTGGGTAAGGGCCAACAGCCAAGTTGTGGTGAACAGTGCTTGGCCTAGAAGATGGTAAGGAGTGAGTGATGGATGCTTCTGCCCAGGGACTCTTCCGCAGCCTATGCCTCAGGCCTCTACGAGATATCCCAAGATCTTATTGACTATTTATATTAGATTTCTATTCCACTCTTCTTCTTACAAAGAACTGAAAGCAGCTTACATCATTCCCCTCTTCTTGCTCTCAATGTTATCCCCACAACAACAGCCTATTGAGGTAGGTGGGGCTGAGAGTCCAGGACTGGCCCAGAGTCACCCAGCTGGCTCTATGGCCTTCTGAGTCCCAGTCCTGTGCTGTTAAGCTCTACACCACACTGGTTCTTGTCTGAAGATCCACCTGGAAAGTATTTATTTTATTGATTTTATTTCTCTGTCAGCCAATAGCTGAAGCTCTCTGGTGGCTGGCAACCCAGTGATAGTGATAGAGTCATGCAGTCCTTGAGATCACACTGCCCTGCCCAGACTAGGCAGCTGTTGTGGAATTTCGACTGCAGCTTTGGTTTGCCATGCCTGGCAGGGACCTGATGAAAAGAGGTGTGTGTGTTGGGAGGGGGTAAATAGCAATGGGTGAAGTGGAATGCTTGGCCTTCTCCAGGTAGATATGGCTTTCTACTGCCTTCCCCAGCATATGGCGGCAGTTCATGGCCAAGAGGCCCTAACTCTCTCTGCACAGGTTCTACCTGTGCTGTGTCCCCTATGCCGGCCAGAACCTGACTACCACTGAAGGGAGGGCTGGTTAGCCAATACACCGTTTCTCACATTGAGAAGTGAGGTGGGGTGAGGACACAGGAGGGATGGGCACAATTCATACATAGAGTACAGACTGCTTGCTTACCTGTGAGCTGAGATATTTTGTCCTTGCATGCCCAGTTCCAAAAGTGAAGAAGAGTTTCTTGTTGGCTGCTTGTCGGTGGAGTCCTGAGAAGTACCTATAAAGATTTGGGCTCTCTTTTGAGTTCACTTGGAGTGCTCTGACTTAGGCTACCTCTTCTACCAGTATTATATGGGGCTGTGGGGATACCGGGTCCTCTCTATGTCCCGTTCCTCCTGATTGCCATCCATTTTTAGCCCCTGCACCAGTTGCAGGATTCTACGAATGTAACACCACTCGGGCAGGCTGGAAGACTTGTTCCCCCTAAATTTCCCCTGCCCTGCAAATATTTTTACAAGCAGATAATTGAACAAATCGATAATGCCTTTCTTTCAAAGTCCTGCAAACCAGCTGAGCTGGCCACTGCTACTTTTTGGTGCCCCACAACTTTTCAGGCTGATATCAGGCCTGCATAACCACAACACTATGCTGACAGAGAGGCCTGGTGCCAGTGTTTCCTCAGCAGCTGCTAGGTGAGAATGTTCTTGCTGCTAAGGTCAAGTCCGACTTATGGCACCCCTATGGATGAAAGCCCTCCAACAGCCCTGCTCAGTTCTTGTAAACAGGATGACGATGGGCTTTCGCTTGTTCTCGTGTGTGCTCACCATTCCTTGCTCAAGCTTGTTTATGGGTGCTTTGGACAGCATCGTGGCCCTCCAGTTTTGCTTGTTTTTAAGGAGCTCTTTCATGTTTGTTTATTTGTTTTTGTTTGGGAGAGAGTAAAATCCAGCATTTTTTCACACCTGAAACAAAGTGCAAGCTCCTACTAGTGTAATAGCATTATTTTGCAGTATCACAACACAGTCCAGGGGTTATGTAGCAGAAAGTATGGAAAGGCAAGAAAGGAAAACCTTTTTGTGTTGAGGTCTGATCTCAGTTCTGTGTCAAAGAGATACAGTGGCTGAACATCCTTGTCTAGATGAAGTGTTTGTTTATAATAAAACCCTCTCCACACAGTGGTGAAATACAAGGATTGGACTGGGTTGTTAGTCAGTCACTGAGAACAATTATACTTGCATAATAATATGGACATATTTGGAATATTGTAAACTGATTTCCCCCTGTCAAAGGAATATTATATAGCTGATAGGACAGAGAAAAGGGAGACAGTGACTGAGGTAGGGGGAGTTAATTATTGTGTGTTTATCAGACCTTGGCATGTTTAGCTTGAAGGAAAAAGACAACTGAAAAGAAAAATGATAATGTTAAATTTTATGAACAGAATGGAGAGAAGGAACCGAGGGCATTCTCTCGCATGCTGTCAAGACACTAGAACTTAGGGTGTCCTAGACAATACTGATTGTTTGTATGTTTCAGACAAACAAGAGGAAGTAATTATTGATGTAATGCACAATTACCATGTAATTAACTACCATGTGATACGTGATGGGTTATATTTGTGGGTTTATGCATGGGTTTATATTCAAATTAATTGGAGATAGAGCTATTAACCATAACTGTCTAAAAATAGAACACCTATGTTCAAGGGTTGCATATCTTGGATTGTTGAGTGTTTGGGGAAACAAGGAGGTGGATATTTCCCTTTTGCTCAATCTATGAATTTTCCAAGGGCATCTGTATGGGCAAACCATTTTTTTAGACAGAGTGATGGCCTTAATTGGACCTTTGGTTTGATCTCACAAAACAATTCTTAAGGTCTTATTAAGGGGACATATGCATACATACAAATAAAATTACACAGGCCATTGGTAAAGGACTTACCAGTGTGAAAGTTTCAATGGGCTGTTATGTTTAAAAAGTTTGTTTATGTCAAAGTTAATGAACACAGCAAGGCCCATTCATGTGCAACGCAAGGGCTATGCCCATCTGGACTACCCATCACAGACATGCTAAAACTCCATGTGAATGGGCTGCTACATGTGAGTGGTCTGAGCATGGATGCAATGTCCACATGGTGAGGCATCTATGCAGATGTGAATGTGGCATTGTTCAGGATCTTCTGGAAGATTTCCAGGTGATTTGTAATGGATCAGCAATGAGTTCTGATTTTTATTTATTCAGTAACAACAACAAGCCTGCTTTTCCCACCTGAATTAGGTGACTGAAATAGAGAGTTCATGTAACTAGGAGTCAAAGGACTGCATGTCCAGTTCAATTTTGAAATGAAAGCCAATTTGCTGGACTCAGAAGGTGTTCGGAGTAATATATTCTTCAGTTCTGTGCCATTTAAACTGGCTTTTGGATCTTAGAGTTCTAGTAACATACCAACCAGATTTGCTATGTGAAGTCTGCTCACTTCTGGTCTAAATGACATCTGCTTTGGTTTATTTGTTTAGTGGCAGAGAAGTGAAGATGTGCTGGCAATCCTCTTGGTGGTGTGGGAGACTTGTGCACTGCTGGGGCGTATGAGAGACAGCATGCTTTTGATCAGGGTTTATTTAGTTTGAACCTTCTAGATGGAACACAGACTACACTGCAATCTGCTGTTCAAGTCTATACATTTCTGAGCTTGCAAAATGATTTGGGGATACCCAAAAATGCATTGACATTGTATATTTTTTAAAACATGCACACACACACACTTCAATCAATGGGAGTAGAATGTGTAGGTCCAAAAAATACACATGACTGAAGCCTGTATTTGGAAAACTTCACATGGAGATACATACAGATTTTTTTTTTCATGATGACAAAAACAGTTCACAGGTTAAGTCAGAATGAGTTCTGAGATAGAATCCAGAGAATGTTGGTGGTCTCAAGTTTTGCTGTATCAACATCCTATGCTCTACCCTCAATTTTTGAGGTGCCATAGTCTAAATGCAAATACATTTTGTGCCAGATAACTTTTGTGGAAACATGTGCTCACCATTAATCTGCAGATAAAAGGAGAGCTCCTTTGAATCATCTTCATGGAATGCCCGTACAGTGTATAAGCCTCCTTCACTCTGTTTCACCCTTACAAGGGTTAAAGTAGTTTGATACCTGGAGGAAAGGGAATGTTACAGAAATTAAGATACTGGGAAAGAAGACCAGCTCAGGCAGAAAAGCACAAGGCCTATTGCACTAAAAGGGGAAATGTTATAACTCTCATGGTGGGGCCTATGAGCTCACTTCTGATATCAGAGCCAAGAACAGAGAAAGCAGCTTGAGCAACACAGAGGGGAAATAATGTGCAACAGGAGGAGAGGGCATCACACTTTTCTTCAGTTGACTTCTTTTAACTGCACTGCTCTTTCTGTGGATGGAGCAGGCAAATGAGGAGAAATACGTGTTCAACTCTATCACGTCAAGGCATGCAGTCCATTTCTTCTTTAATTTCTCCTCTCTCATGGAGAAAGAAGGGCCTAGGGTGCTGTGACCTTACATAAGAAACTGGCACTGGAGAAAGAGTTAAACTCACTTAACTTTGTATAATATTTCCAATAAAATTTGTAGTCTCCACCCATGGTTAGATTTGGTATATAGTAATCAATAATAATCTCAGAGAGCTTTTCTACGTGAAGTCCTTAGGGTGTGCTCATCAAGCCCTACTCACATTTTATCTGGGTTATTTAGCTGTTGCTCTGACTATCCAGCTTGTGTTTTAAGAAGTATTTTGGCAAACAACTTCAGAGCTAGGCAAACGTGGTATTTTTTGAGACAGTGAAAGGAAACACTTTTACCACATTTCCACCTAGAGGTTGTTTGTTTGTTTCGTTTCTGTGCTGCCCCACAGCCCAAGCTCTCTGTACGTGGCAGGAAAAGCAGGAAAGGAAAGGTTGTTTGTGAAGTGCTGTGCTTTTCTGTGATGTAATCAAAAGCAAATACACTGGATTAACAGCTTTGTGTAGAATAGCTCAGAATGTAGCTTAATTCAACTGGAATGCATGCTAAAAGTATGACACAGTTTGTTGTGAAACCAGATAAGGGTCTTTCTGGTGTACATATCTCTGATATCCAGCAGGGTAAGGTTGCTTTTCCTTTCCACTGGAAATGGGAAAAGGAAAGAGAAGTGCAGAATAAATCCTTTGTCTCAAATATGTAAATTAAAAAGGATAACTTACTTAATCCTGAAAGGTTTGAATAAGAAAATTACTGAGGGTAAAAAAAGAACCCTTTTATTTTATTTCTGTACTTTTAAGCACTGGTTTTTAGATTGGCTGATTTCAGACCATTTACCTGGTTTCTGAGATATTTTTGCTGCTGATGGCAAATTCACTGCTGCTCTCTGAAGTCAGGGGCTGACCATCCTGAAGCCAAATGATGGTTGGGCTTGGGTATGCCTCAATCTGCACATGGAAGGTATGGCTTTTGTGCAGCTCAGCAAACATGGTGTCATTCAGGAGAGTGTGGAAGTTCACATAGCCATGGTCTAGGTCAGAGAGGATGGAAGAGAAATGTCACAGGAATGGATTAAGGCTCCTTGGATTTTCCATCCACTTTTGAGGACTTGGGTGGCAGTGCCAGTGTGGAGGCCAAGGGAAAGTCAACATTTATCAGTGGCAACCAGGAGAAGTGGTTGGAGGTACTGGAATATAGCTAGGATCCTGTTCAAATATCAGCCATATAAGCAAGGGCTGGTGTCAAGGGTGGGAAGGGTGACCAAGTAGGCACTGCTAGAATTGAGGGCATGTAGCACCAAAAAGAGGACAAAAGGGGCCAGCAATTGGCATATGATGTCCACAATCTCTTGCTAATTTATATGTGCATATCTATTTTTTAGATAATGACAAGAATTTAAATTTCAAAGAAGATAAACCAATTAATTGTCTATTGCAAGCACTCCCTCTAAAATATTTAAATAAATATGATTCACCCATTCTGTCCTGCATTCAATCAGTTATACCCAAATGGTCCAACTTCTGCTTCAAGCTGAATTTCCTTTCAACAAATTAGCCTTATACACATCAATCATTCACAGCATTATCCCCTCCTAAAATCATAGTATAATCATGATAAATAGGGTCTGCACTGTAATTCCTTCTAGTGATAGGGCTGGGATTCCTACTAGGCAACGAGAACACACGGCAGTCAGGTGGTCTATCTGTGTCTTTTTCCCCTTTTATGTAAATAATGAAGCAGCCAAAGTCAAGGCATTGTGGCAGCTCAACTGAACTGAGCTGAGCTGAGCTTAGCCATATGAAGGGAACCCTCAAATACCTCTTGGGTGGGAGGGAAAGGAAAGGACACACTCTGTATTTCTTCTACAGGGCAACTATATGGAAATATACATGACTGCCTCCATAGCCTGTCCATGAGGCAGCCATTTCTATCCCCATATAATCACCCTCCAAAGGTAACACAATCCTTTGATTTCCCTTCCTTCCCTTCATGGAGGCATTTGAAATTCTGAGTGGCACCATGTAGGAAGCATCTCTGTTCAGCTGTCACACATAGTCTTTGGCTGCCACTTATGTTTTTAAGCGGTCAATGGCCAGTCTCCTTTTTGACCAGTACCAGCCATTTTGACTTTGGACACTTTTTCAGGCCACTTTTATAATATTGCATCATCTGGGAGAAGAGAGGACCTCCCACCATCCCACTATGGAGGCCTAATAATGAGGGCCCCACTGCCGCAGGGGCCCATGGGGCAGCAGCTCCCTGGAGTTGCCCCTCCTCTTTACCATGGCAACCCGCTTGCTCACCTGCCTCTCACCCTGGCCCAGGCAATGGAGCAGGTGAGGAGGAGGAGCAGGAGGTGCTTGGCCTCCCTGCTCACTGGCTGTCTGCTGTCAAGCAAGCTGCTGGTGGCAAGGACAGCAGGGAGGAGGAGAAGCAACTGCAGTTGTGGCAGTGGCTGAGAGAAGGCAGGCCACCTGAGGGAGAGGCCTGCTGAAGAGGCCCTGCCCCAGGGCCCTCCAAAACCTGGAGCCCACTCTGCTTGCAGGGACGCTCTCTGTTTGGGGCTAATCCACCTTTTTTAGAACTATTTTCTGTAAGGGAGGAACTTCAGCTTGAAGGACACCATGACTATCACTGTAGAGGAGGGCTAGATCTGGATTTTATTGTTTGGCTCCAAAGAAAGGTCCTTTGGCAATGTGTTGAGATGCTTAGGGTGATTGCCCAGTAAAATAAACAACATTATAAACAGGTTCTGGGGCAGGGCAGCAATCATCTGATCAAACTGAAACATAAACCAAAACAAGTAATGAAAAGAAAGCAGTAAAGACCCCCATCCCCTCCGTGGCATCAGAAACTGTTGTAAAAACTCAAACAAAAGTTGTTCAAAGGAATTATTTACTAGCTCCCCAGCCTGGATTGAAAGGAAGCAAGCAGCAAAATGAACTGAACCTATGAGTAATAAACCTTTATTTGAAGTTGCTGCTGGGGATCTTTGCCAAATAGCACTTACTTGAGAATTGATGCTATAGGATGATCTCAGACATGGGGAACTGCATTGCTAATTAATATAGTGCTATATGAAATGCTACATGAAGCTCACATTTTAATTCTGCTGCTAGCTAATTGCAGAAAAGCAGTGCTTCAGTGGCACCAAAGCACTCCGGTGCAGAAGCACGCTGGCTGTCTTCGGTTCCCCAAGGAGTAGCAAGCTTGGGTATCTCAGGCTGATGCTGAAAAAGATTCTGGCAAACATACCAATCACTTTAATGAAGATGTGTTGTGTATCTTTTTGCCCAAAATAGGTGTCAGTGGCCTCACAGGTGTACACCCCTTCATCTTCCAGCTTTGCATTGTGGATGGTTAGGGTGGAATTCGTATAGTGGTGGACACCTGGTGCATCCTGAGTCAGGGGCTGGACCTTCTTGCCTACCTGCAGAGGACAGTGAAAAGGAAGCACTTTGCAGTAAAGGTGTTCTTGTGAGTGTAGGGTCTGTCCAATGCAAGTAATAGGAACATAGGCATCACCTAACAAACGATCAGGTCCTCAGGAAAAGCTCACTCTCAGTGGGACTGAAATAAGGTGACTCAGTATGCTTGGCATGGCCTTTCTACTCCTCCACTGCTGCAGGAGCAGAGTGCCTTCTCTCCCATGCCTCTTATTTCATGAGAATTAAGAAGCAGAACTGCTCCGATAGCAACAAAACAGAAATGCTCTCATGTGAGAGCCAGTGTGGTGCAGTGGTTAAGAGCTTGGCCCTGGGGCTCAGGCAAGCTGGTTGCTAGTCCCTGCTCGGCCATGGAGCCAACTAAGTGGCTTTGCACCAGTCATAGACTCTCAGCCCAGCTTCCTTCACAGGGTTGTTGCTGTGAGGATAAGATTGAGAAGAGGAGGAGAATGGTGTAAGTCACCTTGAATTATTTGAAAGGGGAAAAGTTGGGATATAAATATAGCAAATAAAGTGCACTGCATGCTCAGAACTATGTAAGCACAACTGAAGCCTGCTAAATGTTCAGATATGGAAGTGAGTTGCAGGAGGACACTTATGATAACAATTATGAAGTAGAAGCCATATTGCAAGTTGGATCCCAGATCTGCCCCTTGTGAAAGGTCCCTCTGCTCAGCTTGGCAGGATCAGGGAAATCTACTTCGGTCAGCCCGTTTGTTCACACCTAAATGTGGATCTAGCCCTTCTTTTCAGCTAAGGAGAAGATAACATCATGTTCTGAATTGATATTTGGGGTCAGAGGCTGAGCAAGCACTTAGTTTTTAATTGCCTTGTAGTTTTAACTGTTTTGCTGTTTTGATCTTTGTAAACCGTGATGAGATTTTTAAAGAATTAATGACGATGCAGAAAAGCCATAAACGAAACCGCTGGGAGAGGTCATCAGGAGGTGTGGGCTGTGGAATCATCAGTACGCTGATGATACCCAGCTCTACCTCTCGTTTTCCACCAATCCAGGTGAGGCAGTGGCTGTACTGAACCAGTGCCTGGCCGAGGTAATGGGCTGGATGAGGGCCAATAAACTGAAGCTCAGTCCAGACAAGATGGAGGTCCTGTTGGTTGGCGGATCGGGCTTCGGGGAAGGGGAATTGAACTTAGTCCTGAATGGGGTTGCACTCCCTCTTAGGGACAAGGTCCGCAGCTTGGGAGTGCTCCTCGACCTAGAGCTTTCACTGGAAGCTCAGGTGGCAGCGGTGGCGAGGAGCGCTTTCTATCAGCTTCGGGTGATCCACCAGCTGCGCCCCTACTTGGAGAACGACTGCCTGGAGACAGTGACACACGCGTTGGTGACTTCCCGACTTGACTTCTGTAACGCGCTTTACGTGGGGCTTCCCCTGAAGACGGTCCGAACACTTCAGTTGGTGCAAAATAGAGCTGCCAGGCTGCTGATGGGGACGGGGCGTTATGCTCACATGACTCCAGTGCTCCGTCAGCTTCACTGGCTCCCCATTGAAGTCCGGGCCCAATTCAAGGTGTTGGTTATGACCTGTAAAGCCTTAAACGGCTTGGGTCCTGGATACGTGAAGGAGCGCTTACGTCCATATATGCCCGACCGCCCTTTGAGATCTGCGGGAGAGTCCCTTCTCCGGGAACCCTCCATGAAGGAAATTAGGAGGGTAGGTACTCGGAGGAGGGCTTTCTCTGCGGTGGTGCCCAATTTATGGAATGCGCTCCCCAGAGAGGTCCGCCTGGCACCGTCGTTATTTGTTTTTCGACGCCAGGTGAAGACCTTTTTATTCAAATGTTATTTTAATTGTTAATACTATTTATTTATTTTATTCTTTAGCCAGGGTGACTTAAATTATACTGTTTTATATTGTGTTTATTTATTTATGATTGAGAGCCGCCCCGAGGCTTCGGCGAATGGGGCGGCATAGAAGTTCTCTAAATAAATTAAATTAATAAATATTATAAATTAAATCATATTTCCACCACACTCTATCCAGGTCCTCAGGGCTTTATTTCATTTATTAGAAATATTTATATGGTAGCTTATAATCATGTTCCCAGGACAGCTTAACAAAACAAACCTATTCACGTCTATTTGTCACACTCACTGGGACTTATTTCCAGGCATACAACATATTAATAAAAAAAGCCACATAAAAACAAGCCCAGATGAAATGAATTTAAGGCAGGAAGAAATTAAAATGCTTGGGAAGATAGTAAGAGATGAGTGCTTGCTTCAGTATTAGTTCTTCACTGCAGTGTGTTTCCGTCTTTTTACAGTAACGGTGGCCAGGTAGATCCATGCGCTTCAGGGAGATGTGGATGACATTCAGCTCCCTAAAGGTGCTGGTGATGGGCCTCCCCTGATAAGGCCACATATACTTTTTGGGTGGCGCTAACCGTCTGCCCAATCCAACATCTGGCCTTAAGGAGTGAGCAGCTTGCTGCACCCCAGGTATTTTGGCCTGCTGCTCCCCACTAGTCCCATTTTGCTGTGCTCACAACCCACCATGGCTTCTTCTGTTGTGGAAACTCAGCCTCTAAAGGCCCACTTAGATGCCACATGAAATGTGGGGCTGCATTCAACGTGTTTTCTCTTATGGTACAGAATGATAGCTATGTTGGGGGTAGGATGATCAGGACTGAAGCTGTAGCCTACAAGAAGGAGGGATTTAACCCTTTCCTCCATAATGAAGTCCCAAATAAAGTGCCCCTCCTGCCACCAAATAGCAGCCAAACTGCTATTTTTTTTCCCCAGGAGATGAGTGGCCATTGGTGACACTGCAGTCCCTCTTCTGGAATAAATGAGGGGTGGACAGATTTTCACTGGGGCCATGGTGGTGGGGTTTAAACCCCTTCCTGATTCCTCATGGCCCCAGCCTGAATTTCCCCTTCCCTTTGTGGCTATTAGTTTGAAAGTTTAAAACTGACACTTTAAATGCATCCACACATTTACTATCATGTCTCTTTGGGCTCTGAAAGACTCTGGGGGAATAATTCAGACTTGGCTTCCCATTTCTTAATCTTAATAACCAGATGTTTGAGGCGCAAGTATTAGTTAAAAGCCATCTGTATAGACCCAACCCAGAGATGAATGCCACGCAAAACAAACTTCCCTAATTGGCTAAGACTTTGGGGGACCTCTCCACCTATCACTAATAGATCAGTGATATATCATTCTGTGTAAAACAGAGTTTCACGAGTGGTGATTCTGCTCATGTCAAAGCAGCAACATAAGGTCTTGGATCACTTGAGACTGTGAAATGCTTCAAACTTTGCAAGCAGAAGAACCAAAGGAAGTCAAATGCATGTCCAAGAAAGGTCATGTGGTTTTACACTGGTCAGCAGAAACGTCTAGGGAAACAACTAAGCACATCATCAACTGCACAAACACAATTAACACACAGGTTATTTGTGACATTATTTGTGACGTAAATAGCAGTCTGACTGACCCCAGAACAATGGGAAGAGGAACAAGATAGAGTTTGACTCTTCCTTCCCATCCGCCATCCTGACAAAATCCATCAATCTGCATTTCACGGATGCTCCCATTATGGCTCCTCCTCCATGCACCCCTTCCCATATCTGAAGCTCCTGGGGCTTCCCTGTGGCTGCTCCTTATGTAACCAACTTCATGCTCATTAACTGCATTCATAGAATGATGCACCCACTTTGAGCTGCTATGTAGGCACTTGGATTTTCTAGACTAATTGTCACATTTCAATAGTTGGCAGTCTGCCTTAATGTCTGCCTAGATAGTCTCTCCGTTAGTCCAGCATGCTTGCTGTACTTTCTACAAAGGTGTGTGTGTGTGTGGGGGGGGACCAATCTTACAAGCAAACTTTCCACCTCTTGCAACATATGCACACTTACCTTCTCTCCAGGATAACTCCAGGTGTAACTGATCAATTCAAAGCCTCTCACTGTACATGTCACAGTTATGTTTTCACCTTGCTTCACAACAGTTTGAACTGCACTGATAGAAATGTTGATTATGTTGGTGGGAGAGGAAGGAACTAGAAAAAAGGAAATTTCAAGTTAATATGGAAGAAACCTAAGTTACATCAACTTATAGGAGAACCAGTTTATTAGATATGGATACATTTAGGAACTTTGGTTTCTCCTGATTTCTCATTTTTCCAATCTTAAGTTTGGCTTGTCTGAAACACGTCTGCATGAAAAGTCATATCCATTTTTGTATACACTTCCTCTAATAGATGCATTTTCGAATGTAACTTTAACTGATACGCAGGTTTTGCAAACAGAGATTCCAATAGGAACACATTTTTCCAGTGTTACTTTCATTAATATTCATATTTTGTGTGTAAACATTTTGACTGGAGAACTTCATTGCAAAATTTGGAGAAGTGAAAATTCTAAAAGATAACCGGATTTCAGTTTGAGCATTTATTCAAAAGCATAAAGTGAGGTACATATGTATTTAAAAGTAAACAAAAGACTTTCTTCCCCATCAGTATGGTTCACATGAATGACAAATGACTGGGTTCACAGAACATAACAAGCCATGGTGGGGTTTTTTTATTGTTGTTTATCTGTTATGTCTTCTGAATCCAGTCATGGTATTTCAGCATGGTTTGTTAGGGCGTTGGAAATCATGATTTTGAAAAACTTTTTTCTTCATGGTTTCTACTTACCACAATGGTTTCTTGTGATGTCCAAACCCAGGATAGTGATTTCCACAGTCTGGGTATTCGGCCATCACAGAGTCCCCTGGAAAGAGCAGCCACTCTGGGAGCAACTCTAGCCATCCAACATCAACTACCCATCTCTGCCTAGTGACAGAAGCATCACTACTTGCCTCTCTCCTACAGGATGCTCTCTGTTCCCATTCCCCACCATCTTCTCTGTAGTCATCCAGATGTCCACCTGTCCTTTTCGCCCTGCAGAGAAGCGTGCAGAGCTGCCCAAATAAGCAGCTGTGGAGTTTGCTGGTCTTTGCAGATCCCTGAATGGATCTGGCATGTCCTTCCCTTTGAGCAAAGAGGTGAGTGAGCTTCCACTTTATCTGCTTCCTTTCCAGTTGTTCAGAGTGGCATTCCCACCTGATCTAGGCTGCTGAATTACAGTGAAGAAAGCTCTTCACATTGAAGAAAGATCCCTTTGCCTACACTACTGAGAAAAGGCTCACCTTGGATGCTGTAGACGTAGTATGGTTCAGAGTCAAATTCCTGCTCATTCAGCGTTGCCCTGCAGATGTAGGCCATGTCATCAAAGTATCCCTTAAAGCCTAGCTGTGCATAATAAGTGCCGGGGACTGGGTCATTAAACCTCTTTTCATAAAGGGCCACTGTAGTGTTCGGGTTGGTCACACGGCATGGGATAATGTCCTCACTGTAGCCTGTGCTGAAAATAAATAGGTCTTCCACATTGCTTGGTAGGAATGGCATTGAGTGATCTATAGAAAGGAGAGGGTTGAGAGAAATATTATTATTTATTATCATTTATTTAATTTCTGTACTGTCCAATAGCCGGAGATCTCTGGGCTGTTTAAAACACATAAATAACTAAATTAACTAGGGATAATATCTAGTAGTAAGAATACAAACATTTATTTCTGACATAGGATAGCTACAAAGATAATCTAAAACAAGCTGAGATTAGTTTGTTCCAACAGCCTCCTAGCTTTAAGATGGAGGATAAACATGAGCAAATGTGATTGGATATGGTTAAGTACGTATTTCCAACATATGGTTTAGTGTTAGTTCTGGAATACATCAGTAATATTTTCTTTGTGGTTTGGGCAAGGCAATGTTTTCTTGCTAGTGAAGAAAGCTGACAGGAAGAAAATCGATGTTTGAAACGTGCTTTTGGAGAAGAGCTTTGCAAACACCCTGGACTGACAGAAAGAGGATCAAGTGGGTCCTAGACCAAATCAAGCCAGAACTTTCCTGTGGAGAAAACCTGACAAAACTGAAGCTGTCACACTTCAGGCTTATCATGAGAAGGCCGGACTCACTGGAGAAGACAGTCATGCTGGAGAAAGTTGAAGGCAGAAGACGAGAGAAGAGCAACTATGAGATGGATTGATTTCAGAAAAGAAGCCATAACCTTGAGTTTTCAAGAGCTGAGCAGGGCCGAGAAGTGTCAAGATAGTGTCAAGATAAGCCAGAGACAACTTGATGTCACATAGCAGCAACAACAACAAAGTTTGGACAAAATTATTACAATATAACCTCAGTTAAATTGTCTGTATTTTTAATATAGAGAGCACTGGTGCCAAATGGGTGTGGTTAAGGCAGCCTTCCCCAAACTGGTTTCCTCCAGATGTTTTGGACAACAACTCCCACCAGGCCCCAGGCAGAATAGCCAATAGACGGAAATGCCAGGAGTTAAAGTTCAAAACATCTGGAGGGGAAGACTGGGTTAAAAAAGGAGGAATGGAATAGGAATAAGCCTATTACCTGCAAGGATGTGTGTGGGGGATGCATGTGAATTTTACTTACTGTCCTTCACAAAAATAAAGTCTGCCACATTTATGTTTCTAAATGGGGCCCGACCTTTCTTCAGAATGGATGAAACAGCTGCCTCAGAGGCTGATGCTAGGAACTGAGGAGCTGCAGCAATGTGTTGGAAGACAGAGGCCCTGCATCCTCTAAACCAGGGCTCCCCGGCCTTTTTGGACTGATGGGCACATCTGGGGATTTGAGAAACAGCTGTGGGCACCACCACAAAATGCCTCACTAGTGGGTGACTGCCTTGATGTCTACCTGTTGAGTCTGGTTCTTAGGCTGTGCCTTATTCAGCAAAGAAAATGTTTTGTGTCTGTCGGGCACAGCAACACATATTGAATCAGCCAGTGTCAAATAGGGCTAATTTAGTGCGATGCAGTTAATGCTTCCTTTTAATTTTTCAGCCATGTTCATTAATTGCTTCTTTTGGGGAAGACAAATAAATTTTGTATTGAAACTATCTAATACTAATATACTACATGCTTTAAATTTTTTTTACCTGCTTCATAGAAATTAACAAATGAAGGGTAAGTGGATGCTTTGGGCCCTTTTGGCAGCTAAAAGACTGATATCACACAGCTAGAAAGATGAACACATGGCACCTATAATGCAATGGATGGAAGACCTTGCAGTGCATTTGGTATCTGAATGAGTGGTGTTGTCTGCTCCATGCTTTTATGTGTTTTAAAATTTGATTTTATTTTCTGTAAAATTGTTGTAATCTGTTTAGAGAATCTTCAGACCAGTTATAATGGAATATAAGTTGAATACATAAATAAACAAATAAGGTTTGGTGAAGCCTGTGCATTACTGCCAGAAAGTTGTATACATTTCATACAAATCCATGTATGTATATTTAAAAAAATTTAAAAATAGGAAAAAATAAAAAATGTAAAATCTGGGTTGAGAAGGCTTCCAGTTCACACTTGGCCCATGGATTGGCAGTTCCCCAGCCCTGCACTAAGGATGCCAGGCTTCCAGAAAGCCACACAAAGCACAGGCAGATGCTTAAAGAATCAAAGCAATGCAATTGGTCCAGTACCTGGTACAAAAATGTAGATGGATTTTTCCTCTGGGGGTTGATCGGTGGAACAGGAGTATTCGCCCGTGAAGGAGCCAGTCACATTTCTGAGTGTGAGCGTGCTAACAAAAGTGCTACCACTCTTCTCTTGCACAGCATCTAATGTGGTTTTGCTGTCCTTTCTCCATAAAACCTCGTTCTGCCCTGAACAAGTCAGGGAAAAATCGCTGTAGAGATTGAGGATAACTTCACGGTCACTGGGAGAGATCTTCAGGGAGCTGATTTCTGGAAGCCATTGAAGAAAGTATTTAGAAAAGCAAATAATCAAAGAGGGTTCACAGTTTAGTGGTACACAGTGGCCCTTCAGATGTTTTGACCTACAGATACCATGTGCCCAGCTATCATAACCAATAGCAAACGTTCACAGGAGTTGCAGGCCAAAATATTTGGAGGGCAACCTGACACCCACCCTTGCAGTGCATGGATTTAACAGGAACCAGGATCAGAAATGAAAGTAACAGGTTTATTTGTCTAGTTATTTATTTAAACTTCATCCTGCCTCCCCCACAAAAAATGCCCCTTAAAGTTACTTATAGTAACAAGACAGGATCAAAATGAAAGCATAATTTAAAACAACATGAAAACAAAGACATTAAACACACAGTTGAAAATATGTGTTGTTTATATATAATAGCAACTGCTGATCTGCCTCCAGAGCAAAATTGTAATCCTTCTGGCAGAAGCACCCCTGAGGCTGGTCCACCTTAGGAGTTTCATGAGAAATGAAAGTTACAGACCAGTAACATGATTGGACCTCTGACTCCACCTAGTGTTCTCTCAAGAGGAAGAGCTCAGTGTTGGACGTTGGAAATGTAACCTCATTTCCTGTTTAAGTTACAACAGAATTAGACATTATTAAGGAAACAAGAGGTTTGATATTTGCTCGGATATGATTGCATGATGTGAGCAGATAGTTTAGACATGATGCAAGGGGCAACTAGGAAGCCCTAGGAAAAATGGGGGCACTTTCCTACCTAGAACGTGCCATATTCTGAGTTAAAGAGTAGGGTGGAAGGGCCACAAACAACTGCAGTTCTGTTCCCCAGCTGTTTTGAATCAAGCACTTTAAAGGCCTAAAAAGTCCCTGCCGCCATGGCACAGGTCTCTGTGATGTGGTTTGTGTTGGAGAGATCTAATCAGGCTGAGGATGAGAAAGAAAAATCACAACAAAACTAAACATAAAATTGCCAGGAAACCATTGAGAAATGATAGGGTGGATAACATCTTCCTGAATTGCTTCCTATGAGCCCATCACAGCTTCCTGGTTGTTGTACAGCCTCCCAATATTGCTAGAGAAATGGGGGCAGGGATGCAGGAAGGATGTGATACATCCCATCCCAAATAGCACAGTATTGTCTATGCATGTCTGCTAGGAGCACACCCCTTAGATCTTACTCTCAGCAAAGTGGGTATATGATTGCAAATGTGACAGCCCTTTTCATAATGGAATTCAGCTTCTGCAGGTAGCGCATTGGCCAGAGGAGCAGAAAATGGCTGTTTTTCAGCCACACACCATTTGCTGCTGCATAATGCAATGAAGAGGGAAAGCAAAGTGCTTCAGTGTAAAGTCTGCCCTTGGAAAGATGGGAAGATTCCTGCCAATATTACCAAGTTGCTGCCCATCGAAATGGTATTATCAGTTCCAGGATTTCAAAATTCCATAACACAAATGACCACGCATTTATACCTCACCTTTCCAGTAAAATGGGCAAGTTGGCCTACAAATGTCAAAAGCAAAGTGTGGTACTGAGAGTCTGTCCCCATTCCCAAACCCAAGAGAGCTTTCCCTTGGTGGAGGAAACTGGGGATCCCCCACTGGAAGGAGGGACAGGGGAGCAATTTCACAGTAACATTTCACTGTGTTCTGATGGGGGCTCCAGTCCTCCAGAGAAGTTTTTCAGGGGCACTGCAGTGGGAGGAGAGAATTGGAAAGAAAGAGAAAGAGATCTCCCCTTTCCATTTGCAGGAACATCCAGTTCATGAACTTTTGCTTTGCTGAACTCCAAATTCAACCCAATAAAATAATTACGGAAGCTATATTACAAAACAGCAGTGGATAAAACACATTAGTATCGACTTCCAAGGTAGGTAAGACATAAAAACCATTAGACTGCTGCTTCTCCTTTTGCTTTTGGTTTCAGCTGGCTTGCCTTTTAAATATATATTTACCGGCATCTAAATAGACCTGAGGCTTGTCTACAAAATGTTACCCACATATATAGAAACAGAAACTCACTATGTTTAGGGCTTTTATAAAATAATGGAAACAAATGGTGTCATTACAGCAGGAATAAAACAGGACATTGAGAGTCAGTGGCAAAGACTTTGAAGCCCTGAGCTCTGGGAATGGCCACCTAGGCAGGGGCCCTGGCATTCCTCTTGGCCCTACAGAAGCTGGAGCTGCTTGTGTTGACTCACTGGGTGCCAAGGCACTGCAGCTTTACTGTGCAGGCCCCTGCCTGAAGGAAGCTGGAGAGACAAATTCTCCAGCTGCCAGAGAGTTTCTGTTTGTGCAGCAAACCACTACAGCAACTTGCATGCCCCAGATGCACGACCAGTCCAACAGCAACATTTTGTTGCCTGCCAGGTGCTCGAACCCCTCCCCACAACCTTCTGTTCCTGTTGTTCCAGGGGCAGCTGGAAGGGATCCCTTTCCATACACGGTATACACCGGAGTTGCCAACTGACTTCTCTTGAACCTTTTGATTGGGAGCATGATGGAGCGTTTTGCTTACTGTGCAATGTTCCAGGCTAGAAACTATTGTCATTGTGGTGGTCATCATCATCATCACCCACCCAATATAAAGGTTGTCTGGGTGGATTACAAATGCCATTCTTTTAAATCCCCTTTTAATAAAAGGGTCACTATATTTCTGTACCTGTTCACTAAGGCTGCCTGAATTAAATGTTTTAAATTAATCTATCAATTTAAGGGTGCAAGCCCAGGATTGCACCCTCAGTGCTCAGAAGCTCCTGAACTCAGAGGCGAGTAGCAGAGGCCTTTTCTGTCCCTCGAGTCTCCCGCTCTGCATCGCTGCCAGACAGTCTTTCTTGGAATGCTCCCTCGTACGTCCCCTCCAAGGTCAAATTTGTGACCTTGGAAAGGCAGCCAGCAGAATTTTTTTGTGCTGACTGCGCGAGAGGGGGAACTGGGAGGGATGCACTGCCGAAATTCCTTGGGCAGATCACGCCCTATATATGTCCAGATATTGGCTTACCTGTGAGAAAGAGCAGCAAGGAGATGAGCATCTTCAGAGACACACGCAGCATAATGGGAGCCTGTTTTATAGCAAGCAGCACCCTGTTAAAAAGCAAAAGATGATAAGTAGAAATCTGGAGAGAACACAGGTTCCTTGAATGGCAAAGAGAATACAGATATGAGCAATAAATAAAATGTTCCAAAAATGGCCTCCTTCTTTCACATTTTATTACTTCCAGCTTCATCCACAGTCCCAGAGAGGGATCACCAACTTTGTGGATACAGGAAGTGGGCAAAGGTAGTGGGGATCACAAAGCTGCCTGGCTGACTTAGGTTGACTATGAACACTGAGGCAGGCCTCGTCCACAAGACAAGTCTACACGGTGCAAATCTTGAGGCTGGTTATGCATCGGCTGAGTGATGATGACTTGCCAGCAACTGCTACCTGCCCCACACTGTACTTGGGATTTCTCCTGCCTGTACATCTGAGAATGAGCTGCAGCAGACGGAAGTGGCCATGGATGATTGCTCAACACCGGTCTTTGAGCAGTGCTGGCAATGGATCCTTCTCACAAGATTCCAGCTTAATGAGATAAGAAGCATATCATGACCACCCTTCACATTTCCTGTGTCATCTAAGAAGCAACGTACTTTAACAGCTGGATATAGCATTCATATGTGTGAAACCACCACATCTGCTTTCCCTTTATGGTATGTGGCAATCCATCTTCTGAGGTCGAACACATTTCCTGTACATGTGAGGATGACTACTGCTCTTGCTGCACAGCCTTGTGTAGGACTTTTGATCGTTGCAAAGGGGAGAACTTAATGAACTGTAGCTCTCTGGAACAAGTCCACAGGGACGCTCCCGCAGAACCGGAGCCCAAGAGCCAGGATGTGGCAAGTCACAGCCCGTGAGCAAGTTGGCCCATGCACAGAAGTGGCCAGCACATTGGCACCGTTGTGTGAAGCATTCCTAGCACTTAGAGTTTTTTGGAAGGTAGTGGTCAGAAGCAATGCTGGAATTTGTTTGGATGAGGGCTTTGCCTTCTATTAGCTGGGTAATGAGTGTGATCAATTGCAGAGGACACACAGAGCCTAGTCACAGCAGCCAGGTTGCGCTGTCCGCTTTGGTTCATGATCCCCTCCCCCAGGTGCATCCTCAGAGATTCTCTAGCAGAACCGCATCCATTATGCAAATACTCAGTGATTCAAGTCTTGCTGTCCATCAGAAGGGCATCATTTTCCAGTTCAGCTATTATGCATACCACAAAATAAGCAATCCATAATCCTCGCTCTTAATGCATTCCAGTGACCACTCAGAAATTATTTATTATCACATTGCATTTAGATGCTGCCTTTTTTCTCCTCTTGTGAGGAATGCAAGGCAGCTTACATAGCTTCTTCTTAACAAACCTGTGAGGGAGGTTGGGCTGAGAGTGAGTGACTGGACCAAAATCACCCAGTGAGCTTCATGGCTGACTGGGGACTAGAACCTGGATCTCCAGGGTGCCCAGCCCAGCCCTCTCACCGCCAGGCCACGCTGGCTCCCAGTGAATCCTTAGGGCTTTTCAGAAAGAATCAGTGCATTGCAACGGCCATTCAGTTTCATTCATTTGACCATGTCCCTGATTTGGAACTCTGCAGATTTTAACTAGGGACTCGCATGATGAGGCTATAGCCCATCCTTTTGCAGAATGGCAGTTTCCACACATGTCAAAGCAATCTCCTACCTACCCCTGCCAATATGGCCATTCTGGTTGGGGGTGATGGGAGCTGCAGTCCAGCAAATGTGGCAGATGCCAGTCCAGGGAAAGCTGAGCTATAGGAAAACATTCCCCACTAAACACACACACACACACACACACACACACACCCCTCCCTCTTTGCCTGCACCAGCACCACTCAAATGGTTTCCAAGTCGTTCCTCAAGAGCCAGGAACCCCCAATTCCATTTTTGTAGAGCCGCAGCAATGGCAAGAATGCCTGCTGGACTAGGGAGAGGCCGGCCTAGAAACAATCCTTTGAGGCAAGCAGAAAAAATAATGCAAGACTTTATCAGCAGGTACTGCTGCAAGCTCTTGACTTTCCAGATCTGTCACTGTGAGGGCAATACAATCAGCTTTTCACTTCGCCTTCATTAATATAAACTGCTTTACTCCTATTAAACTTAGGATTTTTTCTATAATTGCCTGGAGAAATGGGACTTGGTGTAAATTTAGAGATGTTTTCAAGTTATTATAAACTGATTTGAATATGACTATAGAATGTTAAAAATATGTAGTAGGGGTTGACCCAGTATATGATGACTGATGTTTAAAATTTTAATAAAATTTCTTAAAAAATTAATATAAACTGCTTTGAGACCCATTGTGATTGAAACGCAGTGTGAAATGTTGCAAAACAATACACAAATAATTCTTGAAAATGTAGGTTGAAGTCCTGTGCAGACGTTCTTGGGTGCAATTTACACTGAATACAGGGAAACTCATTTCTGATATGCATGCATTGGCTTAGGCTACAAGGCCATCTGCAGCTAAATACTTTCTGTCCAGCTAGGAGAACATCTTTCTCCTTAGCACTGACCCTTGACTGACTTCAATGGGTAGCCTGAGAACAGTACAGATGCAATTCGGGTAGGGGTTGAGAATCTCAGCACGGGGAAATGCCTATTAATTCAATTTTCCCAATCACAGATACTCCCTTTATTCCCACATAATTCAAGGGGGGAAGAGGAAGAGAAATAAAATTCATCAGACAGTGTCACAAAACTATCCTTGTTCTGGTTCCTTTCATTCCTACTGGAAGCTGCATTTAAAGGGGGCAGGGGAGTGAGGACTCTGCCCCATCCTTTCACATGCTAAAATAAATTAGCTGAAATGTTTAAAACAGATCCCCAAGCTCTTCAGCATTGAGGGAAGGGGAGTTTCTATTCAATAGGCAACCATGACAGTCCCTTCAAATTTTAAATACATCCATTGCAGCTGGGTGGCAATGTAAGTCTATTGCATAAGCTTAAATCAGTCTGTGGTCATATTTCTGGGGTCCTGTGCCGCATGGCATCTTGAAGCACTGTGAACACCCGGAAAACTGCAGAAAATATGATGGGACAGATGAACCAGAGATCAAGTAAAACTTATAAACATGACACTGCATATTCTGGACAGCTGTACAAATCTCTGAAAATCTATGGCCTGCACACAGTTTAGAAACAACTAATAGTGGTTAAGAGCATGGGAATGGGACTCAGACGATCTGGGTTCTAGTCCCCACTTAGCCATGGAGCCAACTGGGTGACTTCGGGCCAGTCACAGACTCTCAGCCCAGCCTACCTCACAGGGTTGTTGTTGTGGGGATAAGATGGAGGAGGAGAATGATGTAAGCTGCCTTGAGCCCTTTGCAGGAAAAAGGTAGGATATAAATCGAAAAATAAATAATAAATAAAACATGAATTGAACTGCAACGATCATGAATAAATCAGATATTCTCAATAGGAAAGAATGCAGAGAGGTTCTGTCAAAGACACAACCCCTTCTGAATTGCATTCAGCATGTGATAGCCAACATGGATCCTTGCCATCGATGATGCAATGACAGTTTAATGTGGACTCCTGCTCTTAGCAGATCCACCCAGTCTCTCTCATCCAGGAGTTTCTGTATTGTGAGCAGTTCTAAAGAACCTCCTCAGATGTGCAGACGTCTTTTCACTCTTTCTGCCCATCAATCTCTAAAAATATATATTAATTTACTTGACATGTAAAATCACGTCCAAGTTGCTAGTTCTCTTAGTCTTCCTTGACCTTTCTCTTTCAGACTTCCTCTGTCCCGAGACCCCATCTGAGCAAAATGTGGGAACATAATTTTGTAGATGTTACTAGACCAGATAAGAATACAGTGGTACCTTGGCTCATGAACTTAATCAGTTCCAGGACTCCGGTCGTGAGCCAAATTGGTTGTGAGCCAAGTTAAATTTCCCCATAAGGTTCCATGTAAATAAGGTTAATCCGTTCTGTAACCATTTTTTTGACTCACAAAAATTTGAAGCAAATTGACAAAGAACAACAAAGATTGCGGCCATCTTCCCCTCACCACCCCGAGCACAAGCACGGCCATCTCCCTGCTCCCCCCAGCACGACCGAGCTCGCACCTGTCATCCCTGCATGCGCCTGTCATCCCGGCGTGCTGTGGGGGGAGAGAAACGGGCACGGACGGGGCGCGCTGGGGGGGTGGAGATGGGCATAATCATGCTGGTTGGTGGGGGGAGATGGCTGACATTGCGCCCGGCTTTCCTGCACAAGCGCAACCACAATCGTGGCCATCTCCCCACTCGGGGTGGGGGGGTGGGGAGATGGCTGTGATCTTGGTTGCTACCCAATGTGGAGTTAGCAACCCACATCAAAATTTTCATTAAATGTTTGTACGCAACCCAGTTTGGTCGTGAACTAAGGTGTTCATGAGCCGAGGTACCACTGTCTTCCAAAATGTTTTACTGTGCCAGCAAAAATAATTAGTTTAGTTTGGCTCAGTAAAACTACTTGTCTCCTTCTCCTTCTCCTCATGGTGGGGCCAAACAAGTGTACACACAAACAAAAAAGACAATGCAGAAAGGGGTGTGGGGAGCTGCCCCAGGCCCAAGGGTGAAGGAGACCACAGATTTCTGGCAAAAGAAAGCAACTTTGGGGGAAAGCTGACATGTTCAGCAAACAGCAGCACTTGTTGGAATTGTTGGCCTGGGAGCGACATGGGAAAGAAAAGCAAGCAAAAGACCTGTAGGGCCAAATTTCACACTGGCACTGCAGAGAACTGTCCCCCTGGCCCTGCCAAAAAAACACAGGTAGCATGGACGGACCTGACTTTGACAGCAAGAGGAGTGCACTGGTGAGGGAGACGGGATTTGTGGGGGCCGACCACACCTCCACTTCTCAGCCTGAGGGTTCCTCTCCTCAGACAGGCTCCAACGCCAGAATGGACTCAGCCGGGGAGGATGCAGAACTCTTTGCCAGCACCCAGTTTATCTGGCTGATAAAAGTGGACATCTTGGATCTTCTTCATGCACTTGGCACAAGCCATATAAAGAACTGGGCATGCCAGGGATTTTATGCC